TAGATGCTTCAGCTGGCCATATATTTCTCTAAATGCTCCCATACAGCGGACTGCATGAGTGGAGTGTGTCAAGTAGAGTACGGCAACAACCTTGCCTATTGTGTATATAAGAGGTAATAAAATGTATACACACGTGTGTATGCCGGGGCGATAAACAAAAACTAATATTGAATAATAGCCCGAGCCTCTTATCTTGGGACAAATTTTCGCTCACGCACACACGCAAAAGGGGCGGATTTTAGTTTTGCATTTTATTTGGTTTTCTTGAGTGTATGTTTGTTGTCTTCGCATTAGGCGAACTTTGGCACAATTATTAAAATTAGATTTGAAAAGCAAGCGTTTTATCTTTGGACGTAGGAGCTTTTTGCTCAATTGTTTATCGGGCTTCATTGTCCAGTCGCCAGTGGCAAGAGCTCATGGCAAGTTTACAAATTAGGATTGTACTGAGGAGGGAGAGCGGAACATCAAGTAACCTGTAGTTCCACTGGAGCCAATCTCAATTTGACCATGGCATTTGTAATTATTTCTAGATTCCTGCATTGGAGGCAACCAATCGCCCACGGGCACGCCGCGCCCCTTTCTGCGATCCAACACCCTTCCCCTGCGCCAGCGACCCAGTCCGGCGGAGGTGCAGTATGAAAGCTACGTGCAGGCCACGGTGGCGGCCAATGCCAAGTCGCCGGTGGAGCAGCTGGAGAGCGCCAAGTCTCCAGGAGCTCCGCCACCGCCGCCCCCAAGGCGCCACCACCTGTTGGCCACCACGCCCACGGGAAAGCCCACGTTCAAGGAGGATCGATTGCAGGAGAATGGCTCCATGAGCAGCAGCTCCCTGCAATCCCCAGTCATCTCGGAGGCCGGTCAGACCACGGCGGATGCACAAGCTCTATTCCAGATACGCGAGCAGATGGCCCTGAGCCTGAAGCGGCTTAAGGATCTGGAGGAGCAGGTGAAAGTCATACCCGACATGGAGGTAAGAGAGTTTCTATTGTCTCCAAAGGAGCATCTTTGGCAAGCAACATTTCATTAATTGGTAATATTAAACAAATCACATTCTGTATTTCAGCTGGAACTCAATTCTCTTCGCTCGGAAAAGCAGAAATTGCTGCGCAGGAACGAGGAGCTGATGCGAAGTCAACGACAGACGCCTTCGCCGCCAAGTCCGGGACTCAAGACCGCCTCACCCGTGCAGTTCACGCCGCAGAGGATCAGTCCAGTGTCGCTGGAGAGCCTAGGAGCACGCATGCGCAGCAGTTCCACCTCGGCATCCCCATCTCCAAGCGTGGTCCGTAGGGATGTGTCCACCCAGGCGGTGGTGCGACCACCAGCCACTCGAGATGTCTCCGTTGGCCACCAGCCCACCACGCGAAATGTGGGAGTTCAGCCATCGGAGACCGTCTACTCCAAGGAGGAGCTGGATAGGAAAGTGGAGCAGGCACTAACCAATGCACAAAGGCAACAGCTAAGGAAGCTCATCTCCGTGGGCACCCAAATGTATGTGCCCCAGAGGGACCAAAAGGACAGTGGCGTGCAAACTACACCGGAACGACCCAAACTCAAGTACAATGTGGGGGTCACCGCGAAACCTGCTACAAGGGAGAACTTTACCAGTTGCAAGCCGGATGTGCGTCATGTGGGCAGCTCTGATGACCGCCTGGATGATGTGCTATGCGAAAAGTGCGCCGTCAGCAAGAGAAGCGTAGCCTGCGGCCCGGAAACTCCGCCGGAAAAGGTGAAACCCGCTCCTCAAATGCCCGGACGCAGCAACACCTTCAGCTTGGGCGAGAATGAAAGCGTATCCGTGGTGCGTAAGACAATTGGGTGCCAGACGCCAGTTACCCCCGTCCTCAGTTCCGGAAGTCAAACCAGCACGGCTGCAGTTCGTTCCACCGGAGCCCAGATTAATCCGCAGCAACAGCACTCCGGTGTCCAGTGTGCAACGGAGCAGGTATCCCGACAGACTGATACCAAGGGACTGCAGCGACTCACTCGGAGTCACACGAAGGCGGAACAGGTGTCGGAGTCGGTACCTCGCCCACCAACCCGCCACACAGCCAGCAATACGGACAAGTTGGAGGAACCGAAGCCGGCTAAAGTGCGAACGAGCCACTCCGCCTGCAACACGGAGGAGGTTCGCAAGAGGGACGTGGGCTGCGGCGACATTGTCAAGCCGCACATCTCCATTGCCTGTGCAGCCAACTACTGTGATTCTTGCAAGGAGGCTATCCAGGACCTGGCCAGGGGTTTCTCGAAGGCCAGCCCCACGGCCACCAGAACGGGAGGAGCAGTGCGACGCTCCACGTCGGCGGACTCCCGAATTCCGCGACCCAAGCACCTCACCAGTCCGAGTCCGGTGCGCAAGGAGTTCATGCGGCAGAACACCTACACGCTGGCCACGCCCTCGCCAACGCCCAGTCCACAGGTGGAAAGGAAGGCGCGATTGAGGTGAGTCTCTCCATGGATACTTTTGTATGAATTCTTTTCAAACTCCTTTTATTTAATTTTATTGATTTTATGGGTACTTTTCACTTTTTACATCAATACAATTCTACTTTTGTTAGTTTTTGTAATATAGTTGTAACTTTAATGTCGACCCACTGTGCTAGCCAAGTTTCACGAAGAGCTTTTAGCCAAGTCACCCACCAGATGTTAGCTCTTGCGCATTGGGGTCACAAAAGTCATTGCCTGAAATCGGAATGGCTTGACCTTCAGTTGAGTTTTGGTGTTTGCTTTGGCCCAATTGCTGAGCCGCTTATTTTTGCTTTATGTTTGGATTTTGGTTTTTCGCATGGTGCTGCCAATGTTTTCCAGCCTGAGCAGTTTTACGTGCTATCCGCTGCTGGTCAGCGGATGCTCGGCTCTGCTTGTAACGTGGGTTTAGGATTTTCCGTAAGAACCACCAAGCTGCCGTACTTATCAAGGTTATTCCCCTTCAGCTCCCTGCAGGAGAAGCCTCCGACTGTGTCCAGTTTCCAGGCATCGGAGCCCTTGCCCGAGTCCCAAAGCTTCATCCGTCAACCGCAGAAGGATTCGTTGGACCTGAGTCTCTTGGGCGAGGATGAGCTGATAGTCCGGGAGGAGAAGCGGGTGAGCATCAGCTGGTCGCGCGACGCCTCTCCAGCCCCGCTGATGACCTCCTCGAGCACTGCCAAGTCCGATTCACCGGATCAGGAGCCGGCCATGAGCTCCTCCAGTGATTCCACTCCGCCCATCGACGTCCAGATTGCCCAGGGAGCGCGCAAAAAGTCCAGCACTCCACTCAAATCTAGTCAGAGCGAGGGCTCCCAGGTGACCGTCATCGAACAGCCGGCCACCAAAGCCCAGCTCCATCAGTTGGCCCAGGCGGATGCGGAGCCCCGAAAAAAGTAAGTTACTTGTAATATGATATAAATAGTGTAATATAAAGCGGGTTTGAAGAGGGCGCTATTAACTTATTCATTCAAGGAAGTTTAAAAAATCGAAAAATAATGTGACTTATAATTATTTCCCCAGAACCGAGTTGTCCAAGAGCCTAAAAGACGCCCTCAAGATCATTAACGACTCGCTGCTGAAGAAGTTGGGCGCCAAGCCCATATCCTCGCAGAGCCTCAAGTCGGCCAAGGCGACCATCCAGGATCACTGGTTCAATAACTCCAGTACTGGCCAATCCGATCCCCATCAGGTGGAGGATTATCTAGATTACTTTGAGTCGCTGTCGGTCCCACTGCTGGAGTATTGTGTCAATCTGTCCGACAGCAATGTGAGTTTTGATCACCTAATTAGTAATTGAGTGCGATCACTAAAGATACATCTTACTTCAGGGCAACACAGCCATGCACTATGCAGTCTCGCACGGCAACTTCGATGTGGTGTCCATACTGCTGGATTCTAAGGTTTGCGATGTAAACCAGATGAATAACGCCGGATACACGTCGGTGATGCTCGTCTCCTTGGCCAAGCTGAAGCAGCCCGCCCATCGAACAGTCGTCGAGCGACTGTTCAAGATGGCCGACGTCAACATACGGGCCAAGAAGGTAGGTAAGGGGCCCAACGCCCAGTGATCCCGAGCCCAGTATGACCTGACCCCAAACTACTCCCCTACTAACCGCTCCCGCCCGCTCTCCGTCCATCAATCCGCAGCACTGCCAGACCGCCTTGATGCTCGCTGTGTCGCATGGTAACGGGGACATGGTCAACATGCTCCTGGACGCCGGGGCGGATATCAATATCCAGGACGAGGACGGCAGCACGGCACTGATGTGCGCCGCCGAGCACGGACGCGTGGATGTGATCAAGCACCTTCTGTCGCATCCAGAGTGCGATTCACTGGTCACCGATGTGGTGAGTGTGCCTGAAAACAGCACTCAGTGCACAAAGCACATGGTTTTAATGACGTTTCCGCTTCCAGGATGGCAGCACGGCCTTCAAGATCGCCTGGCAGGCTGGCCACCGGGATGTGGGACTGCTCATCTACGTCCACGAGCAGATGCTGCGTAGCAAGCTGCCCAACCGCGGAGATGCCACCAGGAGCTCCCTGATTTCGCCACCGCGCCACAAGCGGCAGCCATCGCAGTAAAGCCATTTCGTATTAGCGGCCAAATCGACGAACAAACAGCTAGTGACTAAGATTTTAATTAGCATTTCGTAGAGCTGCTCAGCATACATTCCATAGCGAGATACTGAGGAAGGGCACAAGGGCAGCTTACACTTTCGTATATTGTATATTGTATAACTAAAATTCGTTTGCGTACGTTTTATTTATTTGTAAATCTAATTTTAATGCTAATTTGTAGTGTAACTCCAATGCGATCTTGATTCAGCGACGAAAGCAGCAAACTCTGCGTAATAAATCCGAGACACATCGATCAACTAATGCAATTAGGTACTCCACTGGCCTGAGCTACCGATCTTAAAGTAGCCGACAAACCCATCAACCATATCAAGCAACCGACAATGCAAAAAACGATATACACTTACTTGTATACTAACCACAAATAACAAACAGTGAATCAAAAGGACAAATGTTTTAACAAATCAAAGGGTTCATCTCTAGGAGAACCTGGTGTATTTAATAGAAATTAAACAAGCTAATTTAAAAGAAAATGTTTTCTCAAATAAATAAATTCTTAAATAAAAGCAGGTGTTTAAGATTAAGTATTCTATGCTGACTCCGCCATTGGGCTTCCTGACCTTTAGTTTAATATTGTTTTGGTTAGTTACTATGCTGAGTTTTATATTGCTTTCTAGACTTTGTTCATAGAGTAAATTCTGCGTCATTGGGCAAAAGATTGAGGTTTAGATACTGACACAAGCTAAATCTCTTTGTTTCCACAATGAGTTGCTTTAATTACTTTTTCCTTATAAAGCACAAAGCGGAAACATGAAAATTAAATTAAAATATTGCCAAAGATGCCACATCAAATGCAGAAGGTTAATTAACATTTTAGAGCTCATTTTAATGTTTAACAGTTGTAGGTTTATGCATTTAATGCAAACCTTTGGCTTTACTTAACCAATCTTTTCTATCCCTGAGATAAGCCAATGTCAGTGATCTTGCACTCTCAAGCTGCGAACTTATACCGCCCTCTCCTCGTTTCCGGGTTCTATAACTCCCAATGGCATCAGGGCTAGTGCTATACCGTCCTCCAGGTTGATCAGTGGCTTCCTGGTATTCAAGGAGAATTCATACTCGGAAAGGAGCAGAGCCAAGGCCAGGCGCAGTTGCAGCTGGGCGAATTGTACTCCAATGCAGCTGCGTGCACCCACGCCGAATCCGAACCAGGTGCCCTGCTGCTGCAGCGAATCCCGCGGTCCGCTCCAGCGATCCGGCTTGAACTCCTCCGGATCCGGATAGATATCCGGATCGTGATGGATGGCATGCGTGGGAATGATGAGGAACAGCTCCTTGACCAGTATGTACTTGGGATGGTCCGGAACGGCATAGTCGTTCAAGGTGCGACGTAGGATGTACGGTGTTATGGGATGCATGCGTAGTGTTTCGTTGATCACCTGGCCCATGAAAGCCAGCGACATAATGCACTCGTGGGTTATGTGACCCCCATGCCGCTCGATGGCCCTCTTGACCTCCTCCCTCACGCGCACCTGCAGTTCTGGATGCATTGCGAGTTCGTAGAGTACATATGACAGAGTGTTGGCCGTTTGCTCGTAGCCCGCCTTCAGAAAGACAACTGAATGGGCGGCCAACTCATTCTGCAGATGGGCAGCTAGTTCCTTATCCGATTCATACTGGTGGGTGATGAACTCCAATGCCTTCACGTCGATCAGCAGCTGCAAATAGTCCTTATGACGCTTTCCGGACGCCTCTCGCTGCTCCACAATGCTCGTAAGTAGCTTTATAAAGTACTCCTCCGCCTGCTTGGGCGTGCGACGCATGCGCAGCATGCGACAGAAGTTGGGGAACCGTATCATCATCAGGTTCATGAGGTAGCCGTGTTTGTGGCTATTCAGGGCCAGCTCGGTCATCTGCTCGAAGTCCTCCAGGGGATACGTTATCCGCTGTTCGGCATTCAAGCCAAAAACGCACTTGGCCAGGGAAGACAGCACATAGCGCCGCATGATCTTCTGTATGTGAACGGTGGCATGGGGCTGGCTTATCAGGGTGCTGCTGACGGTCAGGAGGAGCTGTTCCGCCTCCTCGTAGAGGCAGTCGTACAGCAAGGACATGCGATCGCCCTCGAGGCTGGGATCCAGTTTCTGGCGCATCTCCTTCCAGCTCTCGCCCCGCAAGGCGTACAGATCGCCCGACAAGGGATCCGACTTCTGATTGCAGTACAGGCCGCGATCATTGAAGTTCCAAAAGTCCTTGATCATTATCTGCCTGATCAGCTCCCGATCGAGGATCAAGGCTCGCGGCTGCAGCAGAGCGTAGAAGCCGCAGAAGGGACCGCTTCCCTTGAACTTCTTGTATATGGCCGAGTAATGCTCCGCCTTCATAGCCTCCGTACTCAATGTCTGCGTCATTATTTGCCTAATGATAGGCCACAGCTTTTTGGGTCTCTCGTGCGGAATGTCCAGATAGCGCCAATAGTCTCGCTGATACCGCGCCGCAATAATTAGCAGAACCAGCAGCCCGAGCACCAGCAATCCGATGATGAGGAAAATGATCCACATGTTTTGCATTTCGTACGTTTGTTTGCTCTGAATCACATGCACACAGCCCGTCTGCGAATCGGAACCACTGATTTGTTTTTCTGTTCGGTGGGGAGTTGGGGTTCCACTTCCAGTTCCTGCCCGCCCCACTATCTCGCCACCCACTCACTCGCACGGCGGCTGTATCGCGATCCCGCTCTCGGACGTCGACTGGTGTCACCAACTATGATCTAATGCATCGCTCAGGAGCGTTCTCGAATCTCGTTCTCGATGGGGTAACGTTCATTAGCGAGGCGCACGATCCGACTGAGAGTGCTGCGGAGAAAAGTAACTATTTACGATACTCGCTCCCCACTTGCTCCCCAGGTGCGAGCTTTTAATTTGTTTCTTCGCCGCTTTTCGAGTGCGCTACACTGAAGCTCGTCGGCCTGAAGCAGGTGGGCGTCTCACTGAGGCCAGACGGACATACTTATTGCTTTATTTCCAATGTTGGTGGCACCATCGTTCATGCGACTCTTGATATCTGAATAAACAAAAGATTGGATCGGAATGCCACACACATGGAAAATTGAAGCTGATCATAAATTCATAAAATTCAACATTATAAAATGGGTTAAATGAAGTATTCGATTTGGTAGCCTACAAGTTATTTCCTGTATACATTTGCCATCAAAATTTTGGCTTTGTAGGATATTAGCGCAGTGACTTTGGCCGGTCCCATACCCTTATCTATACGCTTTTGAGTTCATTTTCGTTTGTTATCAATTTGAACCGAATTTTAGTACACCTTTTTGTTGGGGCCATATAATATTGGGGTTTTTTGTACAAACACATTATATCCTCTGCTTCTAATTGTCCAACAGTAAGCTGGTAGCTGATAATATGCAAAATGGATTCATTCCTCATTTGTAAATGTACTTTTCATTGATACATTTTACGCCCAATTAACCTTTAAATGGCGTGCAAAAAAGAAAAACAAATGGACAAAAGAAAAGCTCAGCCACAAAGCTGAAATAAAGCCAAAATAAATAAAAAAATTCGAAAAGCTGGCCGATTTAATTACTTGTTGTAGTTGCCCCCATCCGCACTTGAAATCTAATCAAATGTCAAACAAATATGACTGAAAAGGTGAGCAGTGCCGTTGCCAGATCCGTCAAATATCACCAAAGTAATACCCACATCATATCATACCATATCATGTTTCGCTGTCGATAGAACACGAACCCCATCTTATGAAGTAGCCACTAGTTTTTCGACGCGAGGGGCAGAAATTAATTATCGAGGGCTCGTCGAAATACAGTAGAAACTGCCTAATGTTTATTGTACTCATAGGATGTTTTTTAGTTTTAGGTCAAAGTATTTAATAGTTTGTACTTTAGGTAGTAAAGCTGTGCTTCAAAGAATGAGCTCTAAGATTAAATCACATTTTGTATGAAACCAAGTTGCTAACATAGTAATTTCATTATGGTAGGTTAGTAGCGTTATCAATTGGAAATGAAATGAAAAGTAAAAGTAGTTCTTGAACTGACTGGTCTAACCCATATAAATGTCATGTTAATTTGAATTGCAAACGTTTATTGATAAGGGGATGATACCCTAAGCCCCAGACTGCGATAAGTCACAGTGCGTCACTGTACAGTACTAACTCACTATTTTTTCCGGTATGTAAGGAAAAATGACCGACAAACTAAAAAACAACTTTATTGCTAAGTTTTCATGTCGACGTTGGTCTGTGTCCTTATCTTTTTAGACTGATCATACCGTACTATTATAGTCGTCTCACAGTTGCTGGCACAAACGTAAACAAAACCTGAGATTACTCTCCCTTTCCAGAGACTGAAAATGCATCGTCATGCCAAGTAAGTAAGTTCCAGCATTTAAAAGCACTTCGTCTATCGCTTCCCGAACCAGTCGTATTCGAAGATCAGCGGCCATAGCATGGCATTGACTTACCTCCTCTTCCAAGTGGCAGTCGCCCTACTGGCGATCTTCACCTACTATCTCCACCGCAAGCTGACATACTTCAAGCGTCGAGGGATTCCCTTCGTAGCACCGCATCCCATCAGAGGAAACACGGAGGAATTACAGAAGACCAAGAACATCCACGAGATACTCCAAGATCACTACAACAAATTCAGGGAAAGCAAGGCACCATTTGTCGGATTTTACTTTTTCCAGAATCCCACGGCATTTGTCATAGATCTTGAGCTGGCCAAGCAAATACTGATTAAGGACTTTTCGAATTTCTCGAACAAGGGCATATTCTACAACGAGAAAGATGATCCCATTTCTGCCCATCTCTTCAATCTGGACGGTGCCCAGTGGCGTTTGCTAAGGAACAAATTATCCTCAACCTTCACATCCGGTAAAATGAAGTTAATGTATCCCACCGTTGTGTCTGTGGCCAACGAATTTATGGCCGTGATGCACGAGCAAGTGCCGAATAACTCCGTTCTGGAGATACGTGACCTGGTGGCCAGGTTTACGGTGGATGTGATCGGAACCTGCGCCTTTGGCATCAAGTGCAACAGTCTGCGAGATGAAAAGGCCGAGTTTCTGTACTTTGGAAAGAGGTCTTTAGTGGACAAGAGACATGGTACCCTATTGAATGGCTTCATGCGCAGTTATCCCAAGTTGGCCAGGAAATTGGGTATGGTACGAACTGCACCACATATTCAGGAATTCTATCGCAGAATTGTCACAGAGACCGTGGCGGTGCGGGAAAAAGAGCACATCAAGCGCAACGATTTCATGGACATGCTTATTGAAATGAAAAATCAAAAGGAAATGACTCTGGAGAATGGCGATGTGGTCAGAGGATTAACCATGGAGGAGGTCCTTGCACAAGCCTTTGTGTTCTTCATTGCTGGCTTCGAGACGTCCTCCTCCACCATGGGATTTGCTCTATACGAATTGGCAAGGAATCCGCACATTCAAGACAAGGTTAGGGCTGAGGTGGAGGAGGTCATGGAGCAACACGGGCAAAACTTTACCTATGAGTGCACTAAGGATCTTAAGTACCTCAACCAGGTTATAAATGGTAAGCACATTATTACGTGAAATAATGAAATCCTACTGATTTCGAAAATATCCCTGCAGAAACCCTGCGACTGTACACCATTGTGCCCAATCTGGATCGAATGGCCGCCAAGCGTTACGTGGTGCCCGGCCAACCGGAATTCGTCATCGAGGCTGGCCAATCGGTCATCATTCCCTCATCTGCCATTCACCACGATCCCAGCATTTACCCCGAACCCTTCGAGTTCCGACCCGAGCGATTCTCCCCGGAAGAATCATCCAGTCGGCCCTCGGTGGCCTGGCTGCCGTTTGGAGATGGTCCTCGGAACTGCATTGGCCTGAGATTCGGACAGATGCAGGCCCGCATTGGACTCGCTCTGCTGATCAAGAACTTCAGATTCTCCACGTGCTCGAAGACGCCCGATCCTCTGGTCTACGATCCCAACTCATTCGTGCTGGGTGTGAGGGACGGCATCTATCTGAAGGTGGAGCTCGTCCAACAAATTGACTGAAATCTCTTAATTAAAAGCCAAGGCTTCCAAAAACAAATAGCAGCTAAATAGATGGTAATTTCTTGAACCTAAGTCTCATCGAATCATATTGGGGTAGGTCCTTTGGCCATTGATCTATCTTTTGTTAATTGCCAGTTCCATTCCGTGCTCTCATTTTGTATGATGTTAAAAGGTGTGAAGTGTGAGGTAGATTGTTTGAATTCAATAAAAATCCTATTACAAACAATATTATGTATTCCAGATCTGAAAAGCGGGGTATTTTACCATCGTTAGCGAAGTAGCTTCAAATTTATCAGCTTGCCCCAGTCAGAACTCACAGAAAATCGCAGTGATAACGTTGCGATTGCGATAGCTAGTTTTTTGATTCTCGGTCACAATGACTGCCGATTTTTGAGCTGGTGTACTTAAAAGCGCGAACAAGCTTTTGCCATCTCAGTACGTATCAAACGTTTAGCAAACGCTGAAGCAAAACGAGTTCCGTCCGATGAAATATATTTCAAATACTATATAGCCTACGAATCATGTCGGTTGGAACTGTGCTGCTGACGGCGCTGCTGGCGCTAGTTGGCTATCTGGTGATGAAGTGGCGCAGCACGATGCGGTACTGGCAGGACTTGGGTATTCCCTGTGAGGAGCCACACATCCTAATGGGCAGCTTGAAGGGCGTGCGAACTGCGCATTCGTTTAACGAGATCTGGACGAGAAATTACAGAAAGTTCCGTGGAACCGGACCATTCGCTGGCTTCTATTGGTTCACCCGGCCGTCTGTTTTGGTGCTGGAAACATCGCTGGCAAAGCAGATCCTGATCAAGGAGTTCAACAAGTTCACGGACCGCGGCTTCTTCCACAATGCCGAGGACGATCCTTTGTCCGGCCACTTGTTTTTACTTGATGGCCAAAAGTGGAAGTCCATGAGGAACAAGCTCACCTCCACGTTCACGTCCGGTAAAATGAAGTACATGTTTCCCACTGTGGTCAAGGTGGCTAATGAATTCACCGATGTTTTTGGCCAATATGTGGCAAAGTCCCCAGTTGTCGAGGTGAAGGAGCTTTTGGCGCGATTCACCACCGATGTTATAGGCACCTGTGCCTTCGGCATCGAGTGCAGCAGCCTGAAGGAGCCCGATTCAGAGTTCCGGGAGATGGGTCGACGGTCCCTAACCGAGCGGCGGCTGGGAGCAGTTGGAATCGTATTCGTCAATAGCTTTCCCAAACTCGCGCGTCGCCTCCACATGAAAATGACAGCGGAGCCCATCGAAAGTTTCTTCATGCGCATCGTTAGGGAAACCGTAACCTACAGAGAGCAACATAATATTCGTCGGAACGATTTCATGGATCAATTGATCGATTTGAAAAACAAGCCACTGATGATGTCACAATCCGGGGAGACTGTTAACCTAACCATCGAGGAGATCGCAGCGCAAGCTTTTGTATTCTTTGCGGCTGGCTTCGAAACCTCGTCGACCACCATGGGATTCGCCCTGTACGAACTGGCCCAGCATCAGGACATTCAGGACCGGGTGAGGGAGGAGTGCCAGGAGGTATTTAAGAAGTGCAACGGGGAGTTGAACTACGAAAGTATGAAGGATTTGGTCTATTTAGACCAGGTTATATCGGGTATGTAGCATGTGCGGTTTCACAGCCCTCTCTAACTTCAGTTTTCTACAGAAACCCTTCGATTGTACACCGTACTTCCTGTCCTGAATCGCGAGTGCCTGGAGGACTATGTGGTTCCCGGACATCCCAAATACGTAATCAAAAAAGGAATGCCTATCTTGATCCCTTGTGGAGCCATGCACCGCGACGAGAAGCTGTATGCCAATCCAAACACCTTTGACCCCGACAACTTCTCCCCCGATCGTGTGAAGGAACGCGATTCCGTGGAGTGGCTTCCGTTCGGCGATGGTCCCAGGAACTGCATCGGGATGCGATTTGGTCAAATGCAGGCCAGGATTGGACTGGCTCTCCTGATCAATAACTTCAAGTTCTCAGTTTGCGAGAAGACTACCATTCCCATGGCATACGACAAGGAAATGTTCCTCATTGCCAGTGAATCTGGCATCTATCTTAAGGCTGAGCGAGTGTAATGCCTTTTATAAAAAATGTTGATGGCAAATATCGAACAAAATTTATTTGGTTAGAACTGGTTAGAATATTATTCTAGTGTCTTTGGTTCGAGCCAAACTAAATTCGACTGTTTAGAAAAGAAAGGCCCAAGAGTAGACTATGGTAACATTATTATTATTTATGTTCGGATTGGATTAATGCGTTTTTAACTAATATCAAAAATGCTTACATCTTTAAATGATAGTTTAATTTGATAAGTCTCAGTATAATGAAAAATTGAAAACTATTACAAAGACTAATTCACAAAAGTTTTTTTAAGTGTATCTGATCATTTTAAAAGCTATATTTCCAGCATCCCAATTATACTGTATAGTGCATATGCTTATATATATACTCACTAATAAAACGGGTATGACGAAATCTGAAAAAAATTTTCCGTCGAGTAAGAGAAGACCGAGTATAACCGAGTTTTGTTCTCTTTCCAATTAGTTGGATCATTTACACGGGCAAATAAAGAGTAGAAAAATGTGATCCAGATGTGAAATTGCGTTTCACATTATATGGGATTTACAAGTGGTTCGGGAAATTCTCTTCTCAATTTCACCTTAATGTTCTACTAAGTTGCGAAAATTATTCTTCATTTACTGATATTATTTTTTTCACATCAACTTTGTTATTTTTTATATCCAATGTGTGGGCAGGTTGGTATTATACCATTATCAACTCTTTATGAATGAGTAAAGAGCAAGTCATCGTTATTATTGCTTTTATTGTACGTTCAGCATGACAACTGAAATTAAAGCGCTTGTGAAATAAGAGAAGACTGCTATATAAATTTAAAATTTAGATTTTAATATCGCTTGCCTTTTGCACGACCCATTAATTTTATTTTACCTTCGACGTAGAATGCAACTGTAATCAACACAAGTTGATCAGGCTTAAATTACCATGTTTAGCAAAATATTTTTACTTTTTTTTAGAGGAATTACAAAAAAAACTTCGATCTCATAGGAAAGCTTTTGACTACAGTGCAATTCATTTTGTAATGCAAATATAGTATACATAGCTCTCCTGGTATGATCAGTTTTCTCCCGAGTAATTAAAAGTTATCCAAATTTAGTTATAAGTAGAGAAGATCTTGTTCGTTTTAAATTATCTTTATTAAATAAATATGTAATGGTTACGATTTCTTCTGAAATCTTACGTACAAATATACAAACTAAATTACCAATTAAAACAGCGTATATAATGACTGTAGGTGAGGTTATAATTTATTTATAGTTATAATTAACTGCATGTGAAAAACTATGAAAAACTATCACAACGTTTTAATCAAAAATTACATTCCATATTAGTAGTGGTATTAGTATTTACGACGCAAGAACAAAGCTTTAGCAGAATATTTCAGTAATTATCTTTATAACTTTCCCACTCTACTGACTTTCAAGTGAATTCCACCCTTTGAGCTCATCAGAATATCATCGATCCTATATTCCAAGGGTACGACAGTTTTGGTGGGGTGAAGCTCAAACTTGAAGTTGTGGACTAACAGAGCCATGCCAACTATGACCTGCATCCGCCCAAACCGAAGTCCGATGCAATTCCGAGGACCATCTCCAAAGGGCAGGAAAGTGCAGGCAGGGCGCTGTTGCACCTGATCCTCGTCAAAACGCTCTGGAATAAACTTCTCGGGCTCTGGATAAAACTCTGGATCGTGTTGTATAGCCAGTGTGGGGATGATTATGCCCGTTCCTTTTTCAATGTTATATTTCGGGTTTGTATGTTCGTAGGCTTGAGTTGCAACGCGTATTAAATGACCGACGACAGGACGTTTCCTCATGGTTTCTGTAAGGAAATTGAAGTAATGTTAGGAACGTAGTGACGAATCGCACCGGTAGTGTGCTGTAAGTGAAGGGGAATTACATAAATTGGGAAACTTACCATCGATGACCTTTTCCAAATAAGTCATATCTCGCATGCTGTCGTAGTCCAGTTTCCCATTATGGTTTTTCAGGACGGTATCAATTTCAATTCTAAGCTTATCCTGAATATCCTGATTGCTGGCCAGCTCATAAAGAGCGAATCCCATTGTCGTAGAACTGGTCTCAAAACCAGCCAAGAAAAATATAAATGCCTGGGCAGCGATTTCATTAAAGGTCAGTCCATTTTCCTTGTCACCATTGTCGTATTTCAATTTCATTTCAATCAGCATGTCCATGAAATCGTTTCTCTTCACATTGTTCTTTACGCGATAGTCAACAGTGTCCTGAATGATGTTCATGTAAAAGTCCTCGACCTTTTGCACAGTCGCCTTCATTCGCAGCTTGGCGGCCAGTTTGGGGGCTCCGAACAGCAGTAGATCCATGGACTTGCCATAGCGCCGCTCGGTGATCGCGGCAGTGCCCATTTGGACAAACTCCGCCTTGGGATCCGACAAACTGTGGCAGTCCAAGCCAAAGGCGCAGCTCCCGATGACATCGGCGGTGAAACGGGCCAGCAAATGCGTGATCTCCATGGAATCGCCACTAGCACTAGCTGTTTGATCAAACACCCGTATCAGATCATCTCCCACGGTCAGGATAGTGGGAAACATGGACTTCATCTTGCCAGAGGTAAAGGTGGGCGTTAGTTTCTGGCGCAGACTCTTCCACTTCTGACCATCGATATTCACTAGGTTGGCGGACAGCGGATCGTCGCGTTCGTTGTGGAATACACCGCGATCGTGGAACTTTTCAAACTCGCGAATCAGCACGGTCTTAACGAAATCAATATCGGTTACAACCACCATCCGCTTGAAGTACATGTAAAACCCCACAAATGGTCCGTCGGTCTTGTTCTTATACTTGTTGTAGGTTCGCTTCATAATTTCCGATAGTTGAATGGTTTTCATTAACTCGCTGGTATTACCGAACGGAATCTTGGGCTCATCGTGGGGAATGCCGCGCCGCTTCCAGTAGTTAAAGTGCTGGCGCACATACCACGCGGCGAAGGTGATAGCTCCGATCAGCAGTACGATCAGAACGGCCATTTCGGAACAACTGAAAATCCGACCGACGGGCTCGGCCTTTTATACCCGACAATCGGACTCTCTTTCCGGCGTTGATAAAGAGTATGAAAGTCCACTCAGTGGATATATTATTATGTATGCTCTTACGTTTTCCCATGTAATAGTACCCCATGTGGCTCTAAATTATTATTTTACACGTTACTCTTTGAGTATAAGGGCATACTAGATTCGTTGAAAAGTATGTAACATGCAGAAGGCAGCGTTTCCGACCGTATAAATATATGTATGTATGTATATGTATATAATGAATATGTCTTTCGCACTTCCACTAGCCGAGTTACGGATATCTGATAGTCGGGGAACTCGAACATTCGGGGAACATTCTATATTGTTGTTTTTATTATTTCCTATTTATTTAGACTTGCAGAGTTCGTGGTACAACAAAAGTTAGTATTTGTATCTTTAAATTGTACAAGCTTAGAATAATTAAAAATGGCGAGTCATCGTTACTGGAGCATTTCTTGTTTGCCTTGGTAACGACAAAGTTCTCAAGTTTCTGTCTAATGTAATGGTCTGGAAAGCTACTATTATATAGTTTCAGTTCTCTTTATATGAAACACGATTATTTAAATATTTCAGCAGATAACAAAGAAGTTTTCCAACGTCCAACCAACTTTAACCAGTCATAGACAAAAATCCTACTCAATTTTGGAATAAGTTGAGATAGGTTAAGGTATACTTGTTTACGCGTAAACCAAATGACTCGTAGATATAAGCTCTTTAGAAGAGAAATTCCCAGCTGGAAAAGAAGTAAATAAAGAGGCAGCATCAACAAATTGTTTTGAGTACACATGCGAAACTAATAAATAATGTGAAGTGCTTCTCTCGGGTTTTGCTAGCTGCGCAAGCTTTTTTGATTCCAGTAGGTTTATGAAGCTCTACTGGACTACATTTGCGATATATTTTTGAACGGCAACCATATTGATCACCGCACCCAAGCTGATGTCATGGGTGTTTATATGGTTCTATTGACAATTGCGGTGGTGCTAGTGGGTTATCTATTGCTGAAATGGCGTCGTGCCCTTCACTACTGGCAGAGTCTGGGCATTCCCTGCGAGGAACCACACATCCTGATGGGCAGCCTGACGGGAGTGCAGACCAGTCGATCATTCAGCGACATCTGGATGGATTACTACAATAAGTTCCGTGGGACTGGCCCCTTCGCGGGCTTCTACTGGTTCCAACGACCCGGAATACTCGTGCTGGATATTGCGCTGGCAAAGCTCATCCTGATTAAGGAGTTCAATAAGTTCACCGATCGTGGTTTCTATCACAACACGGAGGACGATCCCCTGTCCGGTCAATTGTTCCTGCTAGATGGCCAGAAGTGGAGGTCTATGAGGAGCAAGCTCTCCTCCACGTTTACGTCCGGAAAAATGAAGTATATGTTTCCCACCGTGGTGAAGGTGGGCCATGAGTTCATTGAAGTCTTTGGCCAAGCGGTGGAAAAGTCGTCTATTGTCGAGGTCAAGGATATCCTGGCCAGATTCACCACCGACGTAATCGGCACATGCGCCTTTGGCATTGAGTGCAGTAGTCTTAAGGATCCAGAGGCCGAGTTCAGGGTAATGGGTCGTCGAGCCGTCTTCGAACAACGCCACGGACCGATTGGGATTGCATTCATCAATAGCTTCCAAAATCTGGCACGCAGACTGCACATGAAAATCACCCTGGAGGACGCCGAACACTTCTTCCTCCGGATCGTCAGGGAAACAGTGGCATTCAGGGAGGAGCACAACATCCGTCGCAACGACTTTATGGATCAGCTAATCGATTTGAAGAACAGTCCACTGACAAAGTCTGAGTCCGGGGAGAGTGTGAACCTCACCATCGAGGAAATGGCCGCTCAGGCGTTCGTGTTCTTCGGAGCTGGCTTCGAAACCTCGTCGACCACCATGGGATTCGCCCTGTATGAACTGGCCCAGCATCAGGACATTCAGGACCGGGTGAGGGAGGAGTGCCAGGAGGTATTTAAGAAGTGCAACGGGGAGTTGAACTACGAAAGTATGAAGGATTTGGTCTATTTAGACCAGGTTATATCGGGTATGTAGCATGTGTGGTTTCACAGCCCTTTCTAACCTCAGTTTTCTATAGAAACCCTTCGATTGTACACCGTTCTTCCTGTTCTGAATCGCGAGTGCCTGGAGGACTATGTGGTTCCCGGACATCCCAAATACGTAATCAAAAAAGGAATGCCTATCTTGATCCCTTGTGGAGCCATGCACCGCGACGAGGAACTGTATGCCAATCCAAACACCTTTGACCCCGACAACTTCTCCCCCGATCGTGTGAAGGAACGCGATTCCGTGGAGTGGCTTCCGTTCGGCGATGGTCCCAGGAACTGCATCGGGATGCGATTTGGTCAAATGCAGGCCAGGATTGGACTGGCTCTCCTGATCAATAACTTCAAGTTCTCTGTTTGCGACCAAACAACAATACCAATTGTATACAGCAAAAAAACTTTCTTAATATCAAGTGAGACTGGTATCTTCTTGAACGTTGAACGCGTTTGAAATTTCGATTTTTTAATATTTTACTATCTATATATGTACTTTTATATCAGCTTATCTGTGAATAACCGCATTAGCATGATTGTGAACTATCATAATTTCATTTTGGATATTTTCTCATTTTTATAAAATTATCATTTTATTTTCTGGGTTATATATTGCCTAATAAAGGCTTGTTATTGCAAATGCCATATCCTGTTTCCTGAATTTGAGGTAGGTTCGCTTGAGGATGCGGGCCAGCGGCATCGTTCTCCAAAGTTCGCTGGTATTGTAGGTGTAGTTTTGGAGCACCCACCAAGCGGCGAGGGTAAGGACACCGACCAGCAGACCGAGCAGGATCGCCATTTCGAGCAGACTGATTTGGGAAACCAATTCCAAGCGCGGCTTTCATGTAGAAGAGCTTCCCCACCAGCTATCGCTCGCTACTTTTATTTATAAATCTTAACTGTTTACTTCCAGGTAGTGCTGCTTATGGCAGAAAAGCTCAACATCTCCACATTTTTTTAGGGCATTACCACGTAGATAATACATGTAGAATAAACTACTATGAGCAAGAAACAAGAGGGGTCCTAGTAGTTTTCTCATTTTTTTTAATAAAACTTATATTTGAAATACTTTTTAAAATGTTGAACGTTGAACAAGTTACTCAGTATTTATAAGCTTTACTCCCATATATGTACATATATACGGTACATGAGCTTTAAGAAGGTAGCCGTGAATACATGCCAGAGCAAAATCGTAATATTAAAACATCAAAATCCCTATAAATTTTAAGGTATACTCTCATTTGGAAAGCTTCTCCACGTTGAGATGGATACCATTCTCGGCCGATATCAGAATGTTCTTAAGGACTATCTTCATGGGAATTTGAGTTTCCGGGGAAACGCTGAACTTATAACCCCGGATTAGGTAGGCCAATCCCACGCAGGTTTGCATCAGTCCAAATCGAAGACCGATGCAATTCCGTGGACCTTCCCCAAATGGCAGCCAGGTGCAGGAGGGTCTCGCCGTGATTGCCTCATCCGTAAATCGCTCCGGCTTGAACTTCTCCGGTTCCGGATATATTTCCGGGTCATAGTGAATGCCCAAAGCTGGTATCACAACAATAGTTCCCTTGGCAATGAATTGTTTGGGATCTTCCGGCAGAAAATCAGTCTGGGTCATACGCGTAAGATGCGCCAGAACTGGATACTTGCGAAGGGTTTCTGTCGCACAAAATAAGAATCATAATTAGGCATGGATTTGTGATATTGCGTGATTTCACTCACCCATGACGACCTGTTCCAGGTACTTCATCTGTTTGATTCCCTCGTAAGTAAACTCGTTGTTGTGCTGGCTCAGAACATTGTTGATCTCCGCCCTTAGTTGATCCTGAATGTCCTGATTTTGGGCCAGCTCATACAGGGCAAATCCCATGGTCGTAGAGCTAGTTTCGAACCCGGCCACAAAGAAGATAAAGGCTTGGGCCAAAATCTCGTTGAAGGACAGGCCATCCTCAGTGTTGCCCGCCTGCTCCTTCTGATACATTTCGATTAAGCTGTCCATGAAGTCGTGACGCTTCTCCTTGGTCTTCAACCGGTAGTCGATGGTGCTCCTCACAATTCCAGTGTAAAAGTCCTCAACCTCCTGCACGTTCAGTTTGAGCCGCAAGCGGCGTGATAGCTTTGGAAATCCAAAAATGAGGAAATCCAGCAGTCCTCCATAGCGACGTTCGATGATCGCCCTTTTTCCAATTGCCACAAACTCTGCCTTGGGATTGTGCAAACTATTGCAGTTCAGACCGAAGGCGCAATTACCGATTACGTCAGCCGTATATCGTGCCACCAGATCCACAATTTCCAGAACTTGGCCTTGACCTGCGGCGGTTTTGGCACTGAAGATCTTCTCCATTTCCTCGCCAACCTTCACTACGATCGGAAACATGTTCTTCATTTTGCCGGACGTAAAAGTGGGTGTCAGCTTGTGCCTCAGATTACGCCACTTCTGACCTTCGATGCTGAACAGAGTGGCCGAAAGTGGATCGTCGATCTCATTGGAGAAGACTCCGCGATTCTCGAAGTGATTGAAGTCCTTGATCAGCACCCTCTTGACCAACTCCAAGTCGGTGATGACAGCAGACCGTGTGAAGAAGAAGTAGAACCCGGCAAACGGATAATCGGAACTTTTGTACTTGAAATAGTAGTCCCGGAAAATCGTCGCGATGTGCCGCTTCTTGGGCCAGTCCTTCATGTTTCCGTATATGGGATGGGGCACATCGTGGGGAATACCCCTCCTCTGCCAATATCCATGACGTCGGCGGGCCACGAACAAAAGCAGCGACACTAGCAGCGCGATCAGCGTTAGTAACAGCGACATGTCTCGTTCTGAGTCAGCTCCACACTGAATTCCCACTCGAAATGATACGGCCTTTATACCCGAACGTTCTCTTCTAATCTCTTCGATTGTACTCACCCCAGACGCTTTTCGATAAAGCGAATATTATGGCTTTGGGTGTGTATGCCTCGTTCTGTGATGTTGCCAGCTGAAACACTTCGCCTAACATGTAGCACATTAAAAAGGTTAGTTAAAGGGTGTCTGGAACCGATATAAAAACAGTTGTAAATTAGTCTGAATATACTTAGACTAAGAACAGTCAAGCCGCGTTTATTGTACAACTAAAAACTACTATTATTAATGATCTGTATATGTTATGCTTTAAAACTTATTTGGCAAGCTTCTCCACGTTGAGATGGATACCATTCTCGGCCGATATCAGAATGTTCTTAACGACTATCTTCATGGGTATTTGAGTTTCCGGGGAAACGCTGAACTTATAACCCCGGATTAGGTAGGCCAATCCAACGCAGGTTTGCATCAGTCCAAATCAAAGACCGATGCAATTCCGTGGACCTTCCCCAAATGGCAGCCAGGTGCAGGAGGTTCTCGCCGTGATTGCCTCATCCGTAAATCGCTCCGGCTTGAACTTCTCCGGTTCCGGATATATTTCCGGGTTATAGTGAATGCCCAGAGCTGCTATCACAACAATAGTTCCCTTGGCAATGAACTGTTTGGGATCTTCTGGCGAAAAGTCGGTCTCAGTCATTCTTGTTAGATGAGCCAGTATTGGATACTTCCGCAGGGTTTCTGAAAGCGATAGCCATCAAATAAATCGAACAAGTATAACATTCGAATATAGAACTTACCCATCACAACCTGCTCCAGGTATTTCATCTCTTTGATTCCCTCGTAGGTGAACTCGTTCTTGTATTTGCCGAACACACCGTCAATCTCTTTCCTGAGTTTATCCTGAACATCCTGGTTCCTGGCCAGCTCATATAGAGCGAATCCCATGGTCGTGGAGCTCGTCTCGAACCCAGCCACAAAGAATATGAAAGCCTGAGCGAGCAACTCGTTAAAGGTCAGACCATCCTCCGAATTTCCCGACTGCTCGTTCTTATACATCTCTATCAGACTGTCCATGAAATCATTTCGCTTCTCCTTCGTCCTCAGGCGGTAGTCAATGGTTTCTCTCACGATCTTGGTGTAGAAGTCCTCTGCCTCCTGGATGTGTAGTTTCAAGCGTAAGCGACGCGATAGCTTGGGAAATCCAAACAGGAATATATCCAGCATATTGCCGTAGCGATGCTCGGTGATCGCCCGCTTGCCAATTGCCACAAATTCAGCCTTCGGATCGTACAAGCTGTTGCAATTGAGACCGAATGCGCAGTTGCCGATCACATCGGCGGTGTACCGTGCCACCAGATCCACAACCTCCAAGACTTGACTGCGACCCGCAGCGGTTTTACTGCTGAAGACCTTGTCCATTTCTTCGCCAACTTTCACAACGAGCGGAAACATGTTCTTCATTTTGCCGGACGTAAAAGTGGGTGTCAGCTTGTGCCTCAGATGACGCCACTTCTGACCCTCGATGCTGAACAAAGTGGCCGAAAGTGGATCGTCGATCTCATTGTAGAAGACTCCCCGATTCTCGAAGTGATTGAAGTCCTTGATCATCACCCTCTTGACCAACTCCAGATCGGTGACCACAGCAGTGCGGGTGAAAAAGAAGAAAAATCCAGCGAATGGGTAATCGGAGTTCTTGTATTTCAAGTAATAATCCCGGAATATCTCCGCAATGTGGCGCCTATTGGGCCAGTCCTTGATGTTTCCGTAAAGTGGGTGGACCTCGTCGTGCGGAATGCCCCTTCTCTGCCAGTATCCATGACGTCGACGGGCCGCGAAGACGATCAGAGATAGTAATACAACGATCAGCGCCAGTAACAACATTTCGCATCCAGAGTCCAATGGAAACTGCGCTTAAATTTAAAGTGGCTCAAAGGTCTCGCTCATTTTGCCGTTCTCTCATGTGTGTTGTTTTCAACAAAAAAACTCGTTCTCAGATTTCTCTTAAGGTTAGTGCTCATTCTCAACGTGATAAATGATAATTAGGGAATCAGATGCACTGCCTCAATGGTTGTATACATACAATCTCTCCATATGAACAAGCTGGCGCTTACGCAATCGATAAAATATAAATAGAGCGAATTCAAACATTATTTTTATTTTTCGCGTATCGGATCAGTTTGTGCTTTGCCAACAAACGTTGGCAAAAAGTACAAACTAAGCATGAAATTTAACAACGAGATTGTATTATTTAAAGTCCCTGGCACTGGTGAAATGCTAAGATAAAGCCAGTGACGATTGAAATACTCAACCAAGACGCTTGATTAGATATGCAACAGTTTTACTGTACTACTACGTTGATTGATAAAAACATATGATTGTGTACGTAAAATGTACACTACAATACAATCCAGACAGTGATTTGATAAGCAGCACTATCTGCTCAATTGGCTGAGCTGCTGGACTTTTAGATAAATTCCGTTCGCTGGGCACAGCAGAATGTTGGACTTGAGAAACTCAATTTTTGGGTCAGTTCGCGGACAGACGCTGAAGTGAAAGTTTCTCAGCAAACTGACCAGGCCAATGGTCGTCTGCATTTTGCCAAACCGCATACCAATGCAGTTTCGCGGTCCATCGCCGAAGGGCAGCCATGCGGCGGTGGGTCGCTGGGCCAACTGGTCGGCGAGAAAGCGCTCCGGGATGAACTTGTGGGGCTCTGGGTACAGGGCGGGATCATGATGGATGCCATAGACCGGAATCAAGAGCATTTGGCCGGGCTCGATGTAGAAATGACGATCGCCCTTGGCTGCATACAGATGCCTGGAGATCCGCGTGAGCTGCGGTAGTATGGGATATTTTCGCAGCGTTTCTGAAGGATTAAGTTTTAGTGCAATACTATTTAAATTAGTTTCGAGTTAGGCTCACCTGCGATGACCAGTTCCATGTAGCGCAGCTCCTGCATGGAGTCATAGGTGAATTCCCCGTGATGTAATTTCAGAGCCTGGTCGATTTCCTCGCGTAGCTTCTCCTGCAGTGCCGGCTGCTTGGCCAACTCGTACAGGGCGAATCCCAACGTCGATGCGGAAGTGTCGAAGCCAGCCACAAAGAATATAAATGCCTGGGCGGCCATTTCCTCGATGGTGAGCTCACCACGCTGCTTCATTTCGATCAGCAGGTTCATAAAGTCGCTCCGCACGATGCCCTGCTCCTCCCGCTGCTTCACTGTTTCCCGGACGATGCCCACATAGAAATCCGTAATGTCCTGGTGGATTTGGCGCATGCGCAGAAACCTGGCCACTTCCGGAAAACTCTCTATAAATCCATCGATTAGCTTGCAGTGGCGACGCTCTAAAAAGGCTCTCCTGCCCATTGTGGCGAACTCCGCCTCGGGATTCCGCAGGCCATTGCATTCCACGCCAAAGGCACAACGTCCAATGACATCAGAAGTGTAGCGAGCCATCAGATCACCGATCTCGAGGATTCCGCACATGGCGTTATCCGCCAACTCGCCGCAAACTTGACTAAGTTCCACGCCCACCTCGCAGACCGTCGGAAACATGTACTTCATCTTGGCTGAGGAGAAGGTGGGCGACATTTTGTGGCGCAAGGGTCGCCACTTGGGCCCATCGATGCGGAATAGATGGCCAGTCAGCGGATCATCCCGCTCATTGTGATACATGCCGCGATCCTCAAAGTTGGCGAAATCCTGTATGAGGACCTGCTTGGCCAGTTCCAGATCTGTGACCAAGACCACTGGTCTCAGCATCATATAGAAACCCGCAAAGGGTGCTCCATTGCCCTTGAACTTCTCATAGATTGGGGTCACTATGTCAATGAAATGTTTTGTTCTCCGGAACCCCTCCATGTTACCCACGGGAAACCGGGCCGGATCATTGCCAATGCCCCGCCGACTCCAGTAGCTATATCGCGTCCGCACGAACCAGAAGCCCACTGCCAGGGCAATCAGCAGCAGAGCCACTACATCCAGCATCCTCTCCCCAATTAGATTCACTTTCAACTGAACTCCGACGCCTCCAACGCTTCTATTCGCCTCGCTTCCAATCAATCAGCTGCAGTAGTGTAAACAGACCCAGGCAGATAACCTCGTCTCACAAAGCCTCGGCTCACTGAAAAACAAGTCGACTTGAGAGCTTTTAACTGTGAATCAAGTTTGAGCAATTGATATAGTGAGAGATAACTGTAGAACGTCCGCCTTGAAGATGAAATCTTAACAATATATGATTCGTTTTGTCAGTGCTCAAAATATGGTTAGCCTATATCAGAAGAATTTTGTATTTCTTAAATATTATTATCTTTTCTTATTCCAATTTCTATGGCAGCTTTATTATATACTCCTCCGAGATCGCTACAGTTGAGTTGATCGACTATCAGATAACCGTTACTCAGCTAGTGGAAATGCAATTTAGATATGCATAATAATATAAAAATACTTTTTCAAAAAAATCTATTTAAGTGGCTGGCAACGCGGTGGTAAAATATACTTTTTCGGTATATTCTTGGTGTATTTGGTGTATATTTTCCATATCCCACCTACGGTCACACTTAGAAGTGTAACTTATCAAAAATACATCGCAGTAGTTACGTGAGAGTTTTCAAACGCTAATTTTTATATATTAACAGTGCTTTTATGAAATTTTTTTCTTCGCAAAAGTGTCTGGCAGTGATTGTACAAATGTATTAGCATAAAAAGGTATATTTCTCAATGTTCTGCAGTGTAAAAAAGTACTTTGAAATCGGACCGAAAACTCGCGTGTGTATGTGGTTGTAACACAAACGTGGCTTTGTCTGCAAAAAACGTTGTTAAATCCAGTTAAACATTTTTACTAAAACGTAAATATTTCGTGAAAGCGTGTAATGCGAAGCAACGAAAACGAACATAAGCATTTTTTTGGTTAATTTATTTGCGCAGGCCACACATGCGAAAATATGCTCATGGTCGCCATATTGAATTTTCGTCGTCAGTCCGTACGTGAGTGTGTATATACATATGTATGTAAAAGATTACCTTGTGTTTGTGGACGCGCGTGATTGTTTACGTCTGGTACGAATTACATAGATACCCTATATACAGGATTATCTGGCGCTATGGCGCTAGACCTATCTTCTCTGCACCAACCTTGATGCTAGAGATTGCAAATAAAATAATTGCTTAGAAAAATCGCAGTGTTAAGTCTTAAGAGTGTCATTCTTCCAAAATATCCCCAATAATTATTTCAGTCAAATTTCCTTTGCTTTTCATGTCATTTAATTACCTTGTTATATTTTCCCTTGCAGTCGAAACCTAGCAACTGCGATTCAAACCAAATAACTTGATCGATATCAGGATCAAGATCTGGAATACGGTGTCCACCGCAATGGAGCAGCTATTTCAGAACTACCGCGACGATGAGCGGAGGATCGGCGAGGAGTACCTGTCCAGTCTTCAGGACCTCAACTGCAACAGCAAGCCACTGATCAATATGCTCACGATGCTTGCCGAGGAGAACATCAACTACGCCCACATCATAGTTAAAGTGGTGGAATATTACATCAGCCAGGTTAACAAAAGAAAAGCGTATTTACTTAACAACCAAGACACTCCAGCTTACACACAGCTAGTAGAAGGTCGACACAAAAAGTGATTCTCCATATCGAAATTGTGATAGAATGTGCAGTTTATTGATTACGATTGCCGTTTGATTGCAGAGAAACCCAACGAAGGCCATGCATCTTCCAAATGCGTTATGCGTTTCTCAGTGGTTCTTTCAGTTGGTTTTTTCTGCAAGCTCTGTGGCACAAGTGCTAAATAGGTTCCTAATAATCTTAGTATATATCTCATAATTTGGGTTCTAAAACGTGACTGCTTTTAATCATCTACAAAGGTAAGAAGTTTAACAACCAACCTCCTCGTTTCTTATTTCTTTCTACTTTGGATCCCAGAGTTTAAAGCTAAGAAATAACAAACAACCTTAAAAAAAATAATTGAAAAATAAATAAAAAGAGAAAATGCTTAAACAATCGTCACCAAATTGTCTTTTATTTTATACAAAAACCTTGACTGCTTACAATCAATCACACAAATTGATGTGCAGCAATTTTTGTATTTCAAAAAGAAAAGCGCAAGTTTTGGTAAAAGTAATAAAACTGCACCAAAAAAATATATGTCCGTAATACGTAAGAATAGAGTAAAGCCCTTTATTTTGTCACATTTTCACTGCGATTTTCATTCACATTCACTCGGCAAAGGGAACAGACCTTGTAACATCATACGCCAACACTGTAACCCTTAATGTTTGAAGATCCTTAGACACCGCGTTTCCACATTCACCGCCCATGCTTAGGAAAATATTTCTCTGTAGGATAGGATTTGGTTTGAGTTCGACCGGCTTGCCCTGGAGGCACCCACCACCAGCTGAGGAGGATGACTTCGGTGGACGACCGCTGACCCTGCTGTTGTGTTGTCCAGTCGGCCTGTCTCATTAGTTTTCTTCCAATCTATCTGTTTGAAACTCCGCTAGCGACGTTCCGTAGACACTTATTCTTCTTTATTTCTTACCTATTTTACTAAACTTCAAACAGGTGGCGCCCGAATTTAAATTGCCCATACTATATTTAATTGATTCGATAATAAAGAATGTGAAAAGCAGCTACGTCCAGTTGTTTGGACAATGCATAGTCAACATATTCCTCCACGCTTTTGAATCGGTAAGTGCAATCATTTTCATACGGCCTTCCCATGGCTCATTAATGTTAATTCATTTCCGCAGGTCCAGCACTCACAGTCGCAGGTTTTGGAGAAGGTGCGGGAACGCATGTACGCATTGCGTCAGACCTGGAACGAGGTCTTCCCGCCATCCAAGATGTATGCCCTGGATGTTAAGGTGAAGCGTCTGGATAACAACTGGCCCATTACTGCCAAACAGCCAACTAATAAAATTCACGTCAATCCGGCCATTCATGTAAATCCAGACTTTTTGAAAACGGTAAGCGCACTAAATAATTCAAAAACGGCTTTAGTTTGACCAATATATCCGTTCAATCGCAAAGGGTATGGTTCCTGTGATGCCCGTTAACCCCACAATGCCCAGCGACATGGAGGAGATACTGCAAGCAAAAACCCGTGAGTTGCTGGAGCTGAAAAAGCGCAAACTGGAATTAGAGCTGGAGCAAACCAAAAAGCATTTAGAGGAGCAGGAGCGTCAGCTGAACCAAGCCACGGATGCGATGGCCGGGGCACCAATTATCATGCCTGCGCCTACTGCAGCTGCTACTCGCCCGCCAAACGCAGATCCTAGTCTTGCAGTGCGTAATCAACGAGCATCAGGAGCAATGGGCAATGTTGGTTCCATAATGAATAACATGCCAGCGGCTCAGCAGGTAAATTGTGCAGTGTGATGTGGAAGCTATTCAGAATCTAATTCAATTATGAAATTTGCAGCATTTTGCCAATAAACCAAAAGTCAATCCAGTTAATCCGGCACTACTGAACTCGGTGCGCCAACGAGATCCGAGACTAGCGCGCCAGATGCAGTCGCAGTCCTCACATCCAGCTGCGCCGGCACGAAACGATCCTCGGCTGGAGTCCAAATCGAGCTCCTCACAGAAATCTAGTCGGTCGCGCAGCAAATCGCCTATGCGCAACAGCAGCAGTCGCTCCGGAAAAGGTGGAAACTCTAGCCACAGCAGTTCGTCGAGCCGCAAACGAAGTGAGTCAAAGAGCTCCACGGCTTCCTCATCATCGTCGGGCTCTGATGTTCGACACAAGGGCGTCACTGGCAACAACTCCAACCAGTCTCCAGTTAAGCGATCCGGTAAGAACTCGACTAAGGATTCGGATCGCTATATTCGCAATGGATCTCCTTCGGGATCTGTGAAACGCAAGAGCAGCTCACCAAGTAGCTCGCCCTCCAAATCCAAGCGCAACACGTCGCACAAATCATCTTCGTCGCGAGGAAAGACATCTTCTGGACGATCCCGCAGTCGATCTCCAGTTTTCATGGACGTCGATTTACGCAGCGGAGTTGGAAGCAAGTCACCAGAGAGCAGGGCAGCAGCCCCTTCATCCTTACCACTGGCGGGCGCATCATCAGCAGCAGCAAAAGCACCAAAAGATTTAGAGAAACGTAAGAAACAACTTTTAATTCTAATCTCACACTTGTTAGCGAAAAACCAAGCCTGGTTTGACTTGGTACCTAGAGCTACAGACAGCTTAGTTGAAAATTTAGAAAGTATCAACCAGAATGGCGGCACTCGATGGCTTAGGATGGTGGAAGGGCGGGGTTTTGGTTGGACCGTATGTGGTTGACAAGTGGAAATCTTCTGCTCAGCTCTAACCGAAGTCTGTGATAAGTACAACTGTGATACCCAAGTGGTGGCGTTCCCAACATTGGAATGTTAACTCTATAGATTTTACCTCAATTCTGATAGATAACAACACTCGATTGTATTAAATCATATTAAATTCCTACTGGACAACAATTTGAGATGGTTATAAAATCTACTCTTGCCAGTACCTTACCGATCAACATTATTGACACAAAAATGTCTGTAAAAGATTCCGCTAACTGCTGAAATTTGGTTCTTCCTACGTTGTTTTTTGGCCCAGTTTACTGGGAAGGGGGAATTTGTTTCGTTTTTAAGGCAACTAACCGTCAACCATTAATTAAATATTTATGATATATTTTTTTATAAATACTTAAGCGTCGTTTAGAACAATCTAACAAGTTTAAAAAATCGAAACCAAAGTGTAAATAAAATGTGTTAAAAACCTTTTGCATTCCAAGTTGTTTTAATTAATGCAAAATGTAGCCAGGTGCCGCCTTAGCTGTGATTTTAATGACGATTTTCGATTTGTGAATGTCAAACCAATAAGTACAACTAAATTGAAAGCGAACCAAAAATAAACCAAAATGATTTAACTGTGAAGTATTTCTTGTACCTTAAACTTCCTACTGATAAAAACAATAATTAGATGAAGAGAAACTTAATAAAATAAAGACTGCAGTTTTAATTTCTTGTTAACAACCGTGTAAACCCTAAGTGAACAAACATTTTAAAACAAAAATCCAAGTCAATGGAACGAACATCTAGAACCAGATTAAGTTTACTTTTATTTTAAGCATACGTTGTAGTTGGCTTCACTGTATATACAAGCCAGCTAGTTGAATTTGTATATGTATTTATATTGTTTTGTATTTGTAGAACGGCACTTTTATCCCTTTTAATATTGATTACTATTTATTTTTTATAGTCTAACCTAGATTTCGCATTGGTTCCCCAACGGAGCCCATGGATTCCCTAAGTTATTATTTATGCATTAGTTCTCATCAATTTCTCTAGCCTGATTGTTGTGCCTGGTGTTTGTTGGCCCTGTCCCCTTATAATTTCGTTATGATTTATCCAACCAGTTTCCCGATTTTATTTGCTTAGAATTCTCTGCCTTATTTACTTCACGTTTTGTTATTCTGTTGCTTTTATCTGAAAACTACCTTCCTCTGCCGTAAGAAAACAAAAAAAAGAACGTTAGCCCACAAGCAAAATCAATTTTCTAGCTACATTTCAAATACTCGAACCAGGCCATCCTCCAGCTCCTCCAAGTCCGCCGATTATAGATGTATCGAGTATGGACATTGACTTGAGGCGGCCAAAGACGCCGCCTCCTCCGACATTCGACTCAGTGGAAAGCCTCGACAAGAAGGAAACAAATAGCGGCCACATCAGCAGCACAATAATACAAGCTAGTGGCGCCTCCAACGCCTCCCCATCAGCCGCGTCCACTTCCAAATTGCCCGCAAAAGTGTCGTTCAAAATACAAAAACAGTTTAATAAATTAGAAAAATCTACAGCGAATCTATCAACAGTATCACTGCTCAACTCAAATCCCACGACTTCAGGATCACCAGCAGCATCTCTAGTCAGGCAACCGTCGCCCAGTCCCTCGTCCTCGTCTATTTCCTCGCAGGGTAATGTATCGGACGCCCTGCAGCAGTCGATTACCAAGTTGCTCCAGGTGCAAGGTGCATCTGGTGCCGCCGAGAAACGTCCCGCCGACGCACTACCGCCCGAGATCGATGGCGAAGAGCAACCGCCGCAGCACAAGCGCAGCAAGTCAACCAAGCTGGACGCGTAAGTAGTTCTCCAAGTCCTTCAAGAACATGTCTTAACACCGTTTGCCTTCATAGTCTCTTTGGCAGTGAGGATGTGGATCTGCGTCGCGAGATCCCAGTTGTCAAGCCAGGAGTTATTGTAGTCGAAGACGATTCTATGGACGACTGCGATGTAGACAAGGTAGGATTGGTATACGCCTAGATGGTTGTTACGTAAGGCTACATTTTTAACGTTGCTCCCTAGCCCACAAAGAAATCTGGCTCGCCGCCCAAGAAGGCAACGTTGGAGGAACTGCGCGCCAAGTTGGCCAACTCGGCTCGAATCCAGAATAAGCAGGGAAAATCTGGTGAGTATCTGGTGATACCCATACAAGATAATGTGGCAGTAGTTTGAGTACTTTGCTAATATTTCACTTACTTATCTCCCTTTAGACAAGGCCAAGGATCAGGCCGTGTCGCAGCGCCTTAAGCAGCTGGCGGAACTAAAAGTCAACGACGATTCTCAGGAGGCGCACGACGAGAAGGTGCGCACCATTCTCAGCCAGGCGCAGGAGATGTTTGAGAATCACAGCATGAATCAGGAGCAGTACAAGGATCTTGTCCAAAAAGTGGTGGCCATCAATGAGAACAGCAAAATAAAAGAATCCCGGCGCCGAGACGACGATCTCGAGCGCAATGCGGCCAGAGATGCAGTACTCCGCAAACGTATTCCCAAGCTGAAGGGCAACGAAAATCATTCTATGGGCTCGCCGCACAGCGATGGATCGCCCAGGTACGACGATCAGCCCGCAGTTGCACCGGAGAAGCCCCCAAACAAAAGGGATAAGTCCAAGAGGGATATTAAGCGTCGCAAGCCCAGCAAATGGGGCGACCAAGTGGATCCGGTGGCAGCACAACGCACTGCCTGGCAACTGGCCAATGCCAATGCCAACAATAACAACAACAAGCGGGGTGGCATCCAGCCCGTTCAGCCTCAGTCTGGATTCCGTGGCATGCCTTGGCAGCAGCCACCAGCAATGGTGTTGGCCCAGTCCGCAGTGCCCCCACCACCGCAGCCGCCTTCGATGATTGGCATGCCACCCGTGCCACCGGTGACCATGACTAAGGCCATTAATTCCCTAGACAATCCCATGGCTGACGTAGTGCGAAGCATCACGATCGATGGTGGCTCCAAAGAGATTCGCTTCTACAACCAGGTGGCCATTATCTTCATGGATGGCGATCAGCCTCATGAAATCGGTTTCCAGCCGGGTCAGCGAGTGATCATCATTGATCACAACGAACCGCTGCCGCTTTGCTTCAACGACGATTACAAGCCGTTTCAGTTGGATGGACAGCTTCACCGGATTCGGTTTGGCTTCCCCTCGCGCGAATTATACATCGACGAGCACTGGTACGAGATCTACTTCGGCGGTCCACCAGTGTCCGTGCCCATTGGAAACAAGCTGCATATAATCAAGGCTGAGGGACCACCGCCCAACGTAGACATTGGCCGAGTGCGAAGGGATCTAGTTGTAGGCAAGATCAATATGATTGTAGATGCACATACCATAGTGCCGCTCTTTCTGGACGCCAGACAGCAGACCTTCCAGCTGGGCGCCGAGCAGCATTCGCTGCAGTTTGTGGACAGTTTCCAATATGCGCTGCTCGACGGGCAGCTGCAGAAGATCGAGTATGGTGGTCTTCCCAAAGGAATGATGCTGAACGGCGGTCGCAGCTGCTTCATTAGATTTGGCACGCTGCCCAAAGGAGTCATTGCAGGAAAAACCCACGTGGCGGACATGGTGTACATTAAGACTGATGCTCCTGCTGAGCCTCCCAAGCCGCCTCCAATTATTGTGAAACCACCGCCAGTGGTGGAGCAACCGAAACCCGCCCAAGTTGCTGTTGCCCCCATTTCCCTACCAGCAGCCGCCGCTGCTCTGGAGAGCTTGAACATTAATGAATTGTTCCAAAAGCTTGTCTCGTCGGGAATAATTGGTGGTGGTGGTGGTGCTGCAGCCCCAACTCTGCCTGCCACAGACTCATCAGCGGCCAAGGAGCCAACTACCTCTGCCACCGAACCCGCAACTGTAGCTGCAACCGCAGCTCCTGCTCCACTGCCTGCTGGTCCCCCTATGGAGCCCATCAAGCGCATCGATCTCCGCAAGCCAGAGACCATCAAGACCCGCCAGGCGGCGGTGGTGGCTGTCCTTTACCTGGGAATGCAGTGCAGCAGCTGTGGAGTGCGGTTCCCGCCAGAGCAAACAATTAAGTACAGCCAGCATTTAGATTGGCACTTCCGCCAGAACAGAAGGGAGCGGGATTCCACAAGGAAAGCCACCTCGCGAAGATGGTATTACGATCTCAACGACTGGAGGCAATACGAGGAAATCGAAGATGTGGAGGAGCGAGAAAAGAACTTCCTGGAGGCTCAGGGCCAGCCGGGCGGCATTGAGGCCCTTGAAGAGGTCTCTCAACAACGCTCGCTGGACTCACCCGTGCCAACGTGTGCTGCCGGAACGGATGATGTGGATCACTCCTGTGACATGTGCCACGAGAAGTTCGAGCAGTTCTACAACGAAGAGCTCGAGGAGTGGCATCTGCGAAGCGCTATTCGTGTTGAAGACAAGATCTACCATCCACTATGCTACGAGGACTACAAGGCCTCGTTGAATCCACCAGCAGAGGTGAAGTCGGACCAGGATGTGGACATGAACAACACCGATGACAATGCCATGGACACACTGATCAAAGTGGAGGACGACGACGATGAAGGTGGGTTTAGATTAAATGAATGCAAATAAGAAAGTTTGTTTTAAACGTGTTTACAATAGGTGTGCCCAAAGCATCGCAAGCCATATTCGATGACGATGATGATGATGTCATTGTGCTGCCCAATGAAGAGCCCAGTGTCACGGAAATCGTCGACGACGACGATGAGGACGAGTATGTTCCGGGAAACGTGACACGAGCTGACATGGGCAACGAGTCACAGGACAAGACAGAGTCCAACTCCGAGACAAAAGTACCGGAGAAAGATCAGGTTCAGCTGGGTGAACAGCCGCAAAACGAATCGGCCAACGAATCGGATGTCGAGATCCAAGAGCCAAACATTCCTTTTACGGATCTGGACACGTATGTGGAGAAGGAGATGGATGACGCCACCAGGGCTGCTCTACTGAACGTAAAGATCAAGGAGGAGCCCAAGGATGAGTATGAGGAGGACGAAGATGATGGATTCGAAGACGTGGGCACGGTGGTTTCGCTTTTACCTCTGCCCGAGGACGAGATCTCCATTCACAGCAGCGGTAAGTTATCCAAAACCACCTTCCTGCCCTCAGTATCTTATTTAGTTGCTCAATCATCTGGCATCCTGGCAGAAACTCAAACACACACCATCGGCTCGTCAGCCTCGCCGGCCACCATCGAGCGGCCAGCATCGGTGACCTCGCTCTCCCTGCCCGCCAATGAGGCGGACGAGGTGGAGCAGGGAGATGTAACCGTCGATACAGATGCGGAATTGAACGGGGAGAAGCAGGAGGCCACGCATAACCTGAGCGCAGTGGGTCCGGCGTTACCTTTGGCTAGCATAGTTAATAAAATAAAGATAAATATCACTAAGAATACGAGTAGTAATAGTCATAATAGTGCCTCCAACACCACGACAACGGACTCGCAAGTCTCGGCCATAAGCGTCATCGGTGGATCAGGAGGAGCAGCAGCTGTTGGTGCATCCGGAGCAGCAGATTCTGCCCAGCAGGTGAACGCCATTCAAACCATTTCCACCATTCCAGTGCTGTGCGGCGGCAACACGTTCGTGCCCAAGATTGCGACCAGCACGCCCTCCAACGTAATCAGCTCGATCTCGGTAATTGGCAGCAATTACGGCGGAAGCAGCAGCAACAATGCCGGCCGAAGCACTACTGCCAACGCATCCACAGCGGCTGCTACGCTTCCGGCGGAGACGGCCAGCCGGAAATCGCCCACTCCGCCGCTCGCCACAGTTGATCCGGATCCGGAGCCTGTCGTGGAACTGAAGCCGGCGCTGCGGAACGTCACACTGAAGCGGACGAAGAAAGTGCAGAACGGCATCGAAACTTCGGGCCTGTGCTCGATCATGTAAAAAATCGCACGCCTGAGTGGAGGGAGGAGCAGGCGATATTCCTAATTCATTTTTACTACAATTACTTTTACACGTTACTTAGTTTTAGATAGCCAACGAGACGTTTGCCGCCGGAGAGCGGCGCCTCGCGATCTGTAGGTATTCAAATATTTTTCGATCCGGCGCGCTCACACTCGTATAAATAAATTATTAACGAAAACAAGAACTGGCAAAATTTAATAAAAAAAACCCACTTGCAGAATAAAAACAGAGTATACATAATTTGTGATACATTTATAACACTAGCAAACAAGTCACATTTCTTTGACCACTAACATCAAGCTTAACTAATGTGTACTATTTTTATGCCAATTTGCGGAAACAATAAACAAAATGAATTGAAAAGCACATACTTAATTGATTCAATTATGATTTTTAGTTGCTAGTTGATTAATAGTCGATATTTAACAAATAAAGGTATATAATCAAGCTAAAAACCTCGTTCTTTCATATGTGCAGCTGCTTTTTCGATGAAGTATGTAGTTGATCTACTTAATTGTATTTAAATATACTTCCTTGCTTTTCGAATTGGCGCCCATTTTAGGGTTGCCGTGCTCTCACGCCGTTTCATAGCACTCAGCCTGCAGATGTGCTCTCGCCACACAGCTGATTCCGCAAAAGTACTAAATTTGGACACGCGCTTTAATACATGCACGTGGGCACGTTTCTTCGTTTAAATTAAGTTTTTTATCAGAAATATTGAATTAAAGCCGCAGACGCAGTAACTTTGCACGATGTCGTCCTCCTTCTTCCTCAAGCCAGGCGCCAAGGGCACCAAGAAGCGCAAGGTAAGCGAATCGAGCGGCGCAAACAGCAGCACCTGTAACGCTTTCAAAAGAATCCCGCAGCAACAACAAAAGGAAAACCGCTCAAGAAAGGCGGAAAATTGGGAAAGTCGGGTAAGGCAGCCGACGGACCAGTGCCCAAGAAGCAGCGCCGTCCCAAGGAGGAGGACGAGGAGATAGCCAGCGACGATGAGGAGTACAACAGCGATCTGGGCGGCGATAGCAACACCCTGGCATTTTCCTCCGACGAGGGCGAGGAGGAAACGGCGCAGGACAAGCGCCTGCGTCTGGCCAAACAGTATCTGTCGGAGATAGAGAAGCAGGAGGCGGAACGCGCCGAAGACCGGGAGCTGGGCCAGAGCGTGGAGCAGCGCCTGCAAACGGAGTACTTGGACAGCGTGGGCAAACTGCGGCGCAACATTGCGGGTAGCTTGAAGACCTGCGAGTCTAGCCACATCCTCAAGCACAAACTCCACCACACGCCAATTTGTGCCCTGGCACTCAGTGCGGATGGTAAATTCCTGTACACCGGCGCCAAATCCCAGTTCCTGCTTAAGTGGTGCACGGAAACGGGGAAGGTGCTGGACAAATCCGATGTTCTGCCGCATCGAGAGGAGCCAGAGACGGGCAAAAAGCGGCGCTCACATGTCATCAGCATATGCCTGTCCACGGACATGAAGTATCTGGCCTTGGCCGAAGGTGGCCCACACATTCAAATTTGGTGTCCGCAGACGATGAAGCACATTAAGACTCTAAAAGGCCACCGGGATTCTGTGGCCGGTCTGGTCTTTCGCAAAGGCACACATGACTTGTACTCGGCAGCCAAGGATCGGTCGGTGAAAATCTGGTCCCTGGATGAGATGGCCTATGTGGAAAGTTTGTGAGTAGAATGCTAAATAATCTCCTTAGTATCCGACTTTTAAGGCGACCTTCCTTTCAGATTCGGTCACCAAACAGGAGTAACCAGCATAGATGCGCTCAGTCGAGAGCGAGCCATCACCGCTGGCGGTTCGGATTGCTCCTTGCGCATCTGGAAGATCACTGAGGAATCGCAGCTGATCTACAATGGACACAAAGACAGCATTGAGTGCGTAAAGTACCTCAACGATGAGCACTTTGTATCTGGAGGCATGGATGGGTAAGTAGGAGTCTGCCTACTTATTTCGGCAAGGTAGTAATAAGCGATTTATTTACAGGGCTATCGGTCTATGGAGCGCCTTAAAAAAGAAGCCCATTTGTACAACACAACTGGCGCACGGAGTGGGTGATAATGGTGTGGCCAACTGGATAACCGCCATTGCTGTGGTGGTCAACACGGATTTAGTGGCAACAGGTGAGGCTTATTGTCTTATTACTAACTGCAAACTATGACTAAATATCCATGCTCTTAGGCTCTTGTGATGGCTGCGTCCGCCTCTGGCAGACTAATCCCAACGCGCGGAAAATGCACCTCATCCAGAGCATATCCATCGCTGGTTTCATCAACGGACTGGCCTTCAATGGCGATGGCACCAAGCTGTTTGTGGCCACCGGCCAGGAGCACCGCCTCGGTCGCTGGTGGCGACTCAAGGAGGCCAAGAACCAAGTAGTTGTAGTCGACGTTAAGTTGCAGAGCGCGCCTAGCAGTTAGGTTAACTTCTAAGCTTAAGTAAAGTTGTATAGTTTTTGTAACAAGAAACGGCCTGAAAATCTATACATAAAAAGCATTTGTATCTTCAGCCGAAGGTTCATACTTCCATACATACACATAGATTTTATTTACTTTATTCGTTATTAACTTTTATTTTCAAAAAAAAGACACTGCAATTTTCTATTCTTAAATTGCTCCCTAGCACTACCACTAATATAGTAAAGGGTATCTGATAGGGGAGAAAATCGAAAAAATTAAAAATACAAATTTCAATCAGTTTTAAGGAAAGCGCGAAAGGTTGCTGTTTTGGGCTTATTTCATAGCCAGGTATGGTCACACTGGCCGTGTTACAAAACAAGTGCTGAAATGCAGCCGAAAATAAAAGCCGGTGGAGGATTCTTCTCCTATTTTAAGACTGAAAGGGGCCGGAAACTGGTATTTTACGCCGCGGGAAGCACCACAGTGGGCCTCTTTGTGGCTAACTTCCTGCCGCACACATTTGGCCTACAATACTACCGCGATTTCGTGCAGTGCTACCAGTGGGTGAGAAAATGTTGCTGACTGGGAGCCATTCTAACACCCGTTTCTTTCCGTAGACATGGCGTGGGGCGTCCAGTGCCGGAGGCAGTGCAGCAACGCCTGGAGAAGGCCCTGGATCAGTTGGGACTGACGCCCTTTGAGCGAAAGTTCGTGAAGCCCTTTACCGTCTTTGGATTCGATGTGTTCCAGGCGGGCACCACTAAGTTGCGATTTGGTGGAGCCTTGGGCATACCAGTGAACTATGCATATAACAATCCGGAGGAGATTAAGCGGGCAGACATTCGCTTCAGAGACAAACAGATCAACTGGAGTTTGCCCAGCGGAAAGCTGCTGGAGGAGGCCATCGTTCTGAATGAGGATGAGCAGATTTTCGGTCTTAGCAAGGCTGTGCTGCAGCTGCAAACCTATCGGGTACTTCTTAACTCCATCTTCCCCAGCATTAGCTTTCTCATGGTGTACACCATGGGTCACTACCTCAACCTGCGGCTAGATCTCTTCGCTCGCCATGGAAGCGTGAGTTTCCAAGCTCTCTCACTTTTAAAAACTTTAACTGAATCCGTTTTACAATTACCAGGTCCGCTTTGTGCTCTACAGCATCCTTGGTCTCTTTGGCCTGGGAATCTGGTCCTTTATGAAAGACTTTAATCAGGTAGCCACGGACGCACAGATTGACCAGCGGCTGGCCAGCATGGGTCCCCAATTTGTGGCGGCCGGAGCTAGCTTTTACGACAAACATCTAAAGAAGAACATCGCGCTGAGGGAGCTGATTGGAAATGACATTTACACTGCCCTGGGCAACGAGAACTATATGATTCGCCAAAAGTCCATGCCACTTACGGCACGAAAATCCTTCTTCCTGGAGAAACTGGAGGAACTCAAGAAGGTGCAACAGCCTGAAACTGAGTAATCACATTTATTGTTACGATTAAAGAAAATATGTTTCCAGTTATTTTACAAATATCTTTGTTGCGTAGCCTATAACAGTGGATAGTTGTCCTTAACCTAAAAAATTTCGATCGGATTTTCTCGCGAAGGAGTCTCGAAAATTGACTAGAAATCATGTTCTAACTCTGGTAATGTTGCACGGAATGATAGGTTGACGCCGATGGTCAATGCAATTAAAACGCCTCCTCGCCCACAACATCGCTGATAGTGGCTACCAGGCGACGGGCGTGCTCCACGGCACATGTGGCGGTGACCAGTCCCAGATGAATGCAATACAACTCGTAGACGCGCACCTTTGCCGGCGATATCTTGGGGAAGCACAACTCCGCCAGGTCATGGTAGTAATCCATTGTAAGAGCACCTGGTTCTGTTGGAGACTTCGAACCATTGCCACTGGCTGCCCCTGTGGCCAGAAAGTGATGCTGCAAATCCACGACAGTACTAAGAACGCCACCAGACATGTCCTCGAACCAGAGAAAGTACGAGTAGTGGAATGCCTTGTCCTTCCACATCACTGTGGTCTGGCCCTTCTTAAGGTAATTCCTCGCGATCTCCACCATGCTCCAGAGCTTTGTCTTTGGCACCAGCTGGTTGGGTCGCAGATCCGGAGCAAGCATTTCTCCTCGGCTGCGGTTGACGTACATGAAGTGCACCAGACCCGGGAAATCCTCCAAGTAAGCATCAATGGATATGTTACGAGCGGCCTTAACGGCCAGAAATTCAGCGAACTCAAGTAGCTTGGCCTCCACATTCGCTGCTGTATCAGAGAGTTGATCCAGCTCATGGACACTGGAGCTGTCGCAGCAGGCCAGTGTGAATATCTGCTTCAGTTCCTCTCCAAACGAGGGCAAATTGGACTCGATTCTCACCAGCAGCTCGCGCTCAAAGTTCTTGAAGTACTCAGTGTACATCTTGCGAAGATTTTCCCATTTGGCGGCGAACTTCTTCGTGCAGTTCTCCAGGTCATCGGTTTCCGATCGCTGTTTCAGGTACCTCTTTAAAGCGTTCAGGGCTTGCACAATAAACGTTTCAAGGTTCTCGAAGGCGGGCTTCAGCGCATCCGAATCGCCCTGATGCTGCACGGCCACAATTTTTTGAAGCACATAAAAGGAATCGTAGATGCAGCTGGCCAGTGGCATGTGTGCGTACTCGATGACCTGCAGCAGAACTTGGTTGCCGTGCAAGCGCGAAATGTGCACAATACTGGGAACGCAGCCAGAGTTCACATCGTGGGAGACACCCTGCAGGAATACAGCTACAGCCCTCTGTGACGGTGACTTTGGCGCCTGGAAAGCGCGTGACATGAGGCTGAGGAATAGCAGGTCGGCGGCAGACAGCGGCAGAGCTTGCCGAGTGCTGTTCACGGCCACCAGCTTGTTGGAGACGAGCAATAGAGCATGGGCTCGGGGCAGTCCCAGCTGACGCAAGTGCTCAAGCGTGGCGTCCAGCGTCAGATGGATAGTCCTCTTTAGTTCCGTGTTGATCAGCAGCCTAGGCATGGCCTCCAGCAGGTACGTCTGATCCTCCTCCCACAGCAACGTCTCATAGCAGTCGAGGCACTGCGTCAGCAGCTCCTGCTGCATGGCCCCCGCCTGGGCGGCAAACAAATTGGCGCCGTAACAATAGCGCGTCAGCGAAATGGCCACACCCATTTGGCGACCCAGCATCTCGACGGGAATCTGCCCGATCTTGAGAAAGGTGAAGCCGAGAAGTTCGCCGAATACCAAATTGAAGCCCTGCTCACACTGCAGGCTGGAGTACGCATTATCGAACTGGCACTGCATAATCCGCTGAGATCCAACGATGGGGCTGAAAATCTGGAGCAGTACGTTGCTGTCCAGGGCGGCACCGACGGGGAGCAGACCCTGGGTGGTGGCCACGCCCCGGATCTTCTGCGCCAGCGGCTCGTTGAGCTTCTGGTACACAACGTCGTTGGCGCTGTTAAACACAATTAGTCCGTTCATTTTCTTATCAGCATCGGCAAAACACTAAATACACAACAAAACTTTCACCAGATTCACTGGTGCTGGGTAACGGAATGCGAAGTGTGTTCTGATAAGAAGAGGTGAAGGCTGGGATTCGGCGTTGCACAACACTGTTTCAGCTCTGAGCAATTCAACTATAAAAGGAGTAGAAGTAGAAGTCAGATTTGGCTTTTTTTATTAGGCACCTTTTTCAACGAAATTCATTTATTACAAAACAAAAATATAGTATGCCTACATTTGATGTGAAAATATGTGTGTTCCAACGTATTCAAATCAAATTCATAGATTAATATGTTTTGTATAACAGCCGTTTCCAAGCATATCAAATATACATATTCGTAATCAAGATCAATTAAGAGATCCTTTATAGGGTCGAAATGTTCTCCCTCACCTTTTACATACTTTTCGACTCATCTCATATACTCTTTCACTCAACGAGTAACGGGTATAATGATATTATCTCCAATGAAGAGCAAATAAAGCTAGAACGACTTCTGCTGACGTTTGCCCATACTGGCAACAACTGACATTCTTCTTCTTGCGACATGCGCTTGTGTTATCATTTTTTGGACAGACAGTGATTTGTCCACTAATACAGCACTTGATCATCAATGGGACGTCTAATTCTGGAACACACGCTGCAGGGCCACAAAGGGCGCATCTGGGGAGTGGCATGGCATCCTAAGGGCAACGTATTCGCATCCTGCGGCGAGGACAAGGCCATCCGCATTTGGTCGCTGACCGGTAGCACTTGGAGCACAAAGACCATTCTATCCGACGGCCACAAACGCACAATTCGCGAGATTCGTTGGTCTCCATGTGGCCAGTACTTGGCTTCGGCCAGCTTCGATGCCACCACAGCGATCTGGTCGAAATCCTCGGGAGAATTCGAATGCAACGCAACATTGGAGGGCCATGAAAACGAGGTGAAGAGCGTTAGCTGGTCGCGGTCCGGCGGATTACTGGCAACATGTTCGCGGGACAAGTCCGTGTGGATCTGGGAAGTGGCCGGCGATGATGAGTTCGAGTGCGCCGCCGTTTTGAACTCGCACACACAAGATGTAAAGCGCGTGGTTTGGCATCCGACCAAGGAGGTTTTGGCCTCCGCCTCATACGACAACACCATAAAAATGTACGCAGAGGACCCCGTAGACAACGACTGGGACTGCACGGCGACTCTCACTTCCCACACGAGCACGATTTGGGGCATTGACTTTGATGCGGATGGCGAGCGCCTGGTTTCCTGTAGTGACGACACAACAATAAAGATCTGGAAGGCATACCATCCAGGAAATTCGGCCGGAGTGGCTACGCCCGACCAGCAAACCGTTTGGAAGTGCGTGTGTACACTGTCCGGCCAGCATTCGCGAGCTATCTACGACGTGTCCTGGTGCAAGCTTACAGGTCTGATAGCGACAGCCTGTGGCGACGACGGCATACGAATCTTCAAGGAGACCAGCGACTCCAAGCCAGACGAACCCACGTTTGAGCAGCTAACTGCGGAGGAGGGTGCTCACGATCAGGACGTAAACTCGGTTCAGTGGAACCCAGTGGTGGCCGGTCAACTGATATCCTGCAGCGATGATGGCACCATTAAAATTTGGAAAGTGACCGAGTAACAGAACGATTATGGTTTGGTATATTTAAGTGGGTAAAGCTGGAACCTAATTTTTGTACAGTTTGCGTAATAACAAATTAAAGTATTCGTATTCAAATGATGGATGAAGTGTACAATACATGGTTATGAAATGCGTTACACACAATGAAAATTTCTATTTGCTAAGGAATGGTTCCTGCAAGGTTTTGTACAGCTTCTTGGCCTTCCGGGGACCCAGTCCCATCACCTGGGAGAGTCGCTCCTCGCTGGCATTGATTATGTTGCCCAGGTTGCCGAATGTGTGAAGAAGGGCGGCCGCATCAGTCTTGTTCACCGGCTTGATGTTGGTGAGAGCAGCGAGAAGCTAAGGACATTTGGGTATTGCATTACAATGGCGGATAGTGTGGAATTTCATCATGAGTACCTTCTGATGTGGATTCGACTCCACCCGCTCCATAATCAAATCAGGCGGTCGCTTCTCGAACTGTTTGTACGTCTCAATGATTTTACCCGCCTCCTCGGCGTTCCAGGCCAACATCATGGTCAGGTCGGCCAACAGCGATATCCTGGTTAAGCTCTTGAGAGCATTGTTTGGCTCTGGTGTGTCCACCTGGACCAGTAGCACCCGCAGCTCGTACATCTTGCCCAGAACCTTCAAACGCTGGCAGATGTAGTCGGGATTGAGATTATGGTACTTCAGCGAGAGGTACAGGACGCAGGACGTCCGACCGACCACATAATCGGGAACGATGTCGTCGCGGAACTCCAGCGGAACATTGAGTATGGATTTCAGGATGGGATTGCCACGCTGTTTGCTGTGCACAAGAACGCAGTGCGGATTCGCAGCCGGCTTTCCGGATGCGGAACTGCTGGATCCACTAGTTTCCGTACTGTTGCTGGGAGCAGGATTCACAGCTGTAGCCGATGGAGCATCTACTTTTGGTTGCTTTGCTGCCGCTGGCATTTCCATGGAGCCCAGCACATCGTTAAAGGAGTCATCATCGAAATCCTCCATTTCGGTTATTCAAATAAAACAAACAAAAAAGCTCAAGGTTTGATTAGAAATCAGGTGACGACGGCACTTAGTCTAAAATGATTGCACCACTTTATGTAATTGTATGCTTTCAGGCATTATTATATTATTAATTATTAATTTTATTATAGAGCTTAATTTTAAAAATGGATGTAATTTTAACTGCTGTGAGTATTTTAACAAAGTTAAATTGGAACCCCCACTGCTTATTCAAAATAATACCGTGCATATAGTATTCGTCACTAAGTGGGCACATATCGAAATCATCCCTGTCTTGACATTTCAGATGCCGCGCCACGGTCACACTAATTGCGGCAAATTTTTGACGCGGAATTAAACGAAAAGAACGCCAGGAATTGGGAAAACCGCTTCGCATAAAAATGTATGTTAAGAAGCTTGTGCTCGACGGCTTTAAATCCTATGGGCGGCGCACGGAGATAGAAGGATTCGATCCGGAATTTACGGCTATCACGGGTTTGAACGGCTCCGGCAAGTCCAACATCTTGGATAGCATTTGTTTCGTGCTGGGAATCAGTAATCTCCAGAATGTGAGTGCTAATTGGACATATTGTGGGCTAAACTTTATTAATGTTTCCATACTTTTAGGTGCGCGCTTCAGCTCTACAGGATTTGGTGTACAAGAATGGGCAGGCGGGCATTACCAAGGCCACTGTTACCATTGTGTTTGACAACACAAATCCCGCCCAGTGTCCGCAGGGCTACGAGAAGTGCCGGGAGATCTCTGTGGCGCGTCAGGTGGTTGTCGGAGGCAAGAACAAGTTCCTCATCAATGGCAAGCTGGTGCAGAACAAGAAGGTGCAAGATTTCTTCTGCTCCATCCAGCTGAATGTGAACAATCCCAACTTCCTGATCATGCAGGGCAAAATCCAACAAGTGCTAAATATGAAGCCCAAAGAGGTGGGTAGCCAGAAATATACAATCATAAATAGTCCTCCATTTAACAAAGATATTTCCCTAAGGTTCTGTCAATGGTAGAGGAGGCAGCGGGAACCAGTCAGTATAAAACCAAGCGAGATGCCACCAAAACCCTGATTGAGAAAAAGGAAACCAAAGTGCGGGAGACCAAGGTGTTGCTCGACGAGGAGGTGCTGCCGAAGCTGATGAAATTGCGTCAAGAGCGCTCTGCCTACCAGGAGTATCAGAAGATCTGTCGCGACATTGACTTTCTCGTCAGGATTCACATCTCCGCCAAGTATCTCAAGCAATGTGAGACCCTGAAGACGGTGGAGGCCAATGAGCACAAAATCGAGGATCGCATAGCGAACTGCAAGGCCACTCACGCCAAAAACCTCGAAGAGGTCGAGAGAATTGAAAACTCCGTGAAGGAAATGCAGCAGCAAATCGATGCTGAGATGGGTGGCTCCATAAAAAATCTGGAAACGCAGCTCAGCGCAAAGCGGGCACTGGAAGCTACCGCTACGGGTAGCTTGAAGGCGGCCCAGGGAACGATTCAGCAAGATGAGAAGAAAATTCGCATGGCCTCGAAAAACATTGAAGATGATGAACGAGCTCTGGCTAAAAAAGAAGCGGATATGGCCAAGGTTCAAGGCGAATTTGAAAGTCTTAAGGAGGCAGATGCCACGGACTCGAAAGCCTATGAGGATGCCCAAAAGAAACTGGAGGCTGTTTCGCAGGGACTGTCCACAGATGAACACGGTCAAGCCTCAACACTGCAGGAACAATTGATTGGTACGTAGGTCGGGGATAAAACTAAATCATTGTACTCACCTATTTACCTCTTACCTCTTTAGTGGCCAAGGAGCAGTTCAGCGAGGCACAGACCACCATTAAGACCTCAGAGATGGAGCTGCGTCATACGCGTGGCGTCTTGAAACAACGTGAGGGTGAGACGCAGACCAACGATGCTGCTTATGTAAAGGATAAAAGCCTGCACGATCAATTGGTGGCCGAGATTAAGAACTTAGAACGGCAGCTACAAAATCTCAATTACGAGGGCGGTCAATTCGAGCAGCTGAAGCAGCGACGCAATGATCTGCACATGCGGAAGCGCGATTTGAAACGAGAGCTGGACCGCTGCAATGCCTCCCGCTATGACTTGCAATACCAGGACCCAGAACCAAACTTTGATCGGCGAAAGGTGCGTGGCATGGTAGGCAAGTTGTTCCAGGTGAAAGACATGCAAAACTCCATGGCTCTAGTGCAAACAGCCGGCGGAAGTGTAAGTTGTTGCATCAGATTTGAAAAGTTTTTCTTGTAAACACGAGTTTTTTGTTAGTTATATAGCTACGTGACGGACGATGATGTGACTAGCAAGAAAATCCTGCAGAGGGGCAACCTTCAGCGTCGTGTCACTATGATACCCATCAACAAGATTCAGTCTGGCTCGCTAAGCAGAAATGTGGTGGAATACGCTCAAAACAAAGTGGGTTCCGAAAATGTCCAATGGGCCATGTCTCTGATTGACTATGACCGCTATTACGAGCCTGTCATGAAGTTTTGTTTTGGCGGAACCCTTATTTGCAAGGACCTCAATGTAGCCAAACAAGTGAGTGTTGATTTCCATTTTGGTACATCTTTCACATGCATTGTTTTATTTAGATCAGCTACGACCCACGTATTAATTGCCGTTCGGTGACTTTGGAAGGAGATGTTGTTGATCCCCACGGCACTGTGTCTGGAGGTGCTGCTCCTAAAGGTGCTAACGTCCTGGAAGAATTGCACGCCATTAAGCAAATAGAAAAGGAGTACAGAGAGATCGACGCTGAGATAGCCCAAGTGGAGAAGCAAATGACGTAGGTAAACAAGAAGATTCCCGTTCCCAAAACTTATCCCTATCTGTTCTTAGATCCATTGAAAACCTGGCTCACTCGTTCAACAAAATGAAGGAAAATCTTGAGATGCGACAACACGAGTTAACCATGTGTGAGAACAGATTGGCCCAAACAACCTTTCAACAGAATCAGGCAGAAATTGAAGAAATGAAGGAAAGGGTCAAGACCCTAGAGCAACAAATTATTGACTCCCGTGAAAAGCAGAAGACCTCGCAAGCCAAAATTAAGGATATCGAGGCGAAGTTGGCAGATGCAAAGGGTTATCGCGAGCGTGAGCTGAAATCAGCCACCAACGAGGTCAAGGTGACCAAGCAAAGGGCGGAGAAATCTCGGGCGAACTGGAAAAAGCGAGAGCAAGAGTTCGAAACTCTTCAATTGGAAATCACTGAGTTGCAGAAAAGTATAGAAACTGCAAAGAAGCAGCACCAGGACATGATTGATAACCTCGAAAAATTCAAGGCTGAGCTAGACGCTCTAAAAGCAAATAGCTCCGGTGCTGCGTCCGAGGTGACGGAGATCGAACTGGCGATTAAGGAGCAGAAAGATAAACTGAACGCTCAGAACAAGGAGATGCGAAATCAGTTGGTCAAGAAGGAGAAAATGTTGAAGCAAAATCAGGAGATTGAGCTGGAGGTGAAGAAAAAAGAGAACGACCAAAAAAAGATTAGTTCGGATGCCAAGGAGGCAAAGAAACGGATGCAAGACCTCGAGAAAAAGTATCCCTGGATTCCGGAGGAGAAGAACTGCTTTGGCATGAAGAACACTCGCTACGATTACAGCAAGGAGGATCCCCACGAAGCTGGCAACAAGCTGGCGAAGATGGAGGAGAAAAAGGAGAAAATGGAGCGCACCCTCAACATGAACGCTATCATGGTACTGGATCGCGAGGAAGAGAACTTCAAGGAGACCGAGCGCCGACGAAACATTGTGGCGATGGACAAGGAGAAGATTAAGAAAATCATAGTGAAGATGGACGAAGAAGAGCAGGATCAGCTGAACAGAGCAGCTACCGAGGTGAACGCGAACTTCAGCGGAATCTTTAGCTCTCTTTTACCCGGTGCTGATGCAAAACTCAATCCCGTCCATACCAATGGGTGTCTTACCGGTTTGGAGATTAAAGTGGGCTTCAATGGAAAATGGAAGGAAAGTCTCGGCGAACTTTCTGGCGGCCAAAAATCCTTGGTGGCTCTATCTCTTGTCCTAGCCATGCTCAAGTTCTCCCCGGCTCCCTTGTACATTTTGGATGAGGTCGACGCTGCCCTGGACATGTCGCACACGCAAAACATAGGCAGCATGTTGAAGCAGCACTTCACCAACTCGCAGTTCTTGATTGTGTCTCTCAAGGATGGTCTTTTCAACCACGCTAACGTCCTGTTCCGCACTCTCTTCGAGGAGGGTGTGTCCACCATCACCCGGCAGGTCAGCCGACAGGCAACATCCAACAAACGCTGAAATGGGACTCGTTTCTTATTACTTGATAAAACCTTTAAAATATCATACGTAAAGCTCTTATTTTTATTTTAATTCTCAGTAATAAACATTTTACTAAATTTGGTAAATAAACAAATTGCGGGTTAAATGTTTACTTCTAATTAAGTGATTGTAATAAATTAATTCTATCACCAATTTACATTAATTCGCTAGTTTGTATTAATTACCTTCTTAGATTTTTTAATTGTCAAGAAAGTAATTTTATTAAGAAGCACAGTCCGATTATTTTTTATTTATTAAGGCAGATTGCAATATTTAAACTACTTAATTCAACGAAATAAGTAGATTAAGTACAAATTTATATTTTGTAACGGTCGTTTGCGCATCAGCTGATTTCCAACCGGGCGGGCAAAACGTCAAACTGGTGAGACCGTCAAACGCACACACACACACATACGCAACGAGCAGAAGAGGAAGAAGAAGAACGAAAGGCAGCAACAGCAATGTTTGAGGGAGTGAAAAATTAAACAAAAGTCCACGGATTTTAGCAGCAAAAACTCAACGGCGTTTCAAAACCAAATCACCAAGATTTCGAGCCAACGCAGACTGCTCCAAAAGCTCACCATGGTAATGTGCAAGGTTCCAAAAACTTACGAATCGTTCGATTCTTTAATCACACACACACGACTCGTGTGTGTATGTGTGCAGGGAGCAGCAAAAATTGTAGACACCGCTGGCATTTGGATAAACAATAGCAACAAGGAGTGGTGGTCGAGGCGGGAAAAGCACCGATTTATGGATATTCATTCATTGGAATGTGGGAGTGCTAATGAGCCGTTTTGCCCTTCCAGGATCGAGTTACCAAGCCGCAGAAGAAGATGCTCATCACACTGCTGCGGGAAACCAAGTACATGGAGGGCAAAAAGGAGAAGGAATGGTACTGGGAGAAGATCCAAGCGGCCCTGAACACCATTGGTCCCAAGAAAACGATAATTCAGTGGAAAAAGGTAAGTTTACTCATCTATGGAACCAAAAAATTAACCTAAATCTGTTTTTCAGTGCTGGCGCGACATGCGACTGACCACAAGGAAAAAGCTGGCGGAACTGAAGCGCTGTCAACTCTCTGGAGGATCTCCACCACCGGGTATCGAACTGAACCAGGAGGACAACGACATCATCGACATTGTGGGCACCGAGTACTTCTACGAGGAGATGAATGGTGAACTAAAGGCGGAGAACTTCCTGACCGGCTTAGACTACGCGCCGGAGCATCTGTGCGATGCCATTCTTACGGCGGCAGTGGGCCATCACCAGCACAATATGCAGCACCAGAAGGATCCGCAAGCGCATGCAGGGCAACAGCAGCAGCCGGATCATCACACCAACGATGGCGAAACCAATGATGCACCTGGATCAAGCAATGGTGGCTCATATCAGGGACACCCAGTACCCCAGTTACAGGCGCATAATGGCAGTGGTGGAGGAGGCGAGCATGGCGGCGGTGGTCAGTCCGGGATGCTCCAGCACCCTGCTTTTCATGGTGGCTTGCATCCACACCTGTTGAGGCGGCAGCATGGTGGTGGATCACTCTCCAGGGAGTCGCCCTTTGAGGAGAAGCTTCTGCAGTTCATGCAGGATGCCTTTCCAAAAAAGAGCAAGAAGCGCAAGAACCGGGATCCGGACAAGCTGTTCCTCTTATCCCTGTACGAGGAGATCAAGAGAGTTCCCGAGGAGATACGCCTTGATGTGAAGTCCGAACTAATGCAGATACTGAAGAAGTACCAGAAGAAGTCCCCTGTCAAAGCGGAGAAGCCGGCGCCCTCCTCCACGTCAACCTCCTCAAAGCTCAGCTCTAGCAGTAGTGGCAGTAGCACGGTGACTACCCACTTGTCCCACAGCATGTACCAGTTGCAAAAGAAATACGAAAAGGGCGAGCGTGAACCATCGCCTCAATCACAGGTAGAGCGAGTAGCGTCTGCAGGGGCAGTTGCTGTGCCCATCCATGCCTCCCAGCAGCTGCCTCTTTTCCAGCTTCAGAAGAAGTACGAGGAGAACACCGTGGAGAAGGTTCATCAGCAGCAACAGCAGCAGCAGCAGAGCGAGCAACGCAAGCATGTGGAGGCCGCTCAGGCCCATCATGCTGCCCACCAGCAACCGCCTCCACCGCCACCCAATGAGCACCTACACCACCCCCAAATGACCCACAACATCATGTTCCCGTTGGGACAACTTCGCAACGAACAGCAGCCCGCACAGCAACACCAGCATGCCCACAACCCCCACCAGCAACAGCATCCCCACCAGCAGCAGCAACAGGGACAGCAGCACCATCCGCCCACGATCTTCGGTTCTACCGCCAGCGAACGGCCACCAATGTCCTACGAAAATGTCGGATGAGTCCTGAGCCGTCTGTGGGAAGCCACTTGTGGAGCACCACGCCCTGCGACGGTGTCCCCCACGACGGCAGACGCGCACAACTGTTAGCCCTCGACTTAGACAGCAATTCGTAGGTCTTACCCTTATGCTAGCCTATACCTAAGTACACATTGCTCACTACAAACATGTTCATAAGTCAGAAATGGTGCAGTCTATGACAAAGATACTCCTAAAGGATTCGAAACAAGATGTTCGTGATTTATGCATTTTGTGGTGAGTGCATGTCGTGATCCTCATGTAAATGTTCCCGTGGCAATAACAGCGCAGCTGAACTGTGACACAAGTTCTCAATAGATCGCGACGCATACATTTTTCGGTGTAAATACAAATATGATTGTATCTTTAATTTGTGGCTGTTATTGAAAATATGGACCGTGGGCGTAAATATGTTTATTGTTAGACCAAGCTAAATTATTGATTCACAAAATCTGGCAAGAATTCCATATTCCCAGGTCCCAAACTACGCGCCGCTTTTGTTTTTCTGGCCAAATCGGAGCAGTTATTAGCTTAGTTCTGATGTGGACTCCACAATCATGTTTGCTTGGACTTGGCGAAGCTGTAAATCTAACAAGCTTCCCGTCGTTAACCTGTCGCCAGGAATATCTAGTCTTCATCTCTCGTAACGCGATAACCAAATCCACAGGGAGCACGCCATATCATAAAGATAGTCCAACAGCTGACTGATCCGATCTGCCTAAATGCGAGTTTCAACTGAGCACTGCCGATCGCCGAACTCGTCGTTGTCTGTCGCATGTTAGGCAGGCTGATGAGCGATCACGAGCCGAGCTGCAGCATAATCCGCCAGATCTGCTGCGCTTATCAGTGGCGTCCGGCTGGGATATAGAGATACAGATACAGGCGGATCGACTGGAGGCGGACTGGGTCTGCCATTCTATTCCGGCGGCAGATCGCAGCAGTTGATCGTCGGAGATCGAATCGCAGGGATTGGCGGCAGCTCTTGCAAATGCAGAGTTTAAAATTCAAGTGAAGTTCCCTACCAGTCAATCCATTCACCATGGCCCAAGGTACGAGAATAATCTGAAATTCGTGTCACACCTAGAAGATCTGGCTTAAGACCTCCAAATGAAGAACAACCACAAGTTGGGAGCTCGCATTTCATGCACTTTACATTGATATTTTCAGTCGAGGCGCGCACTGTGCTGTGGTACATGACATTCATAGGCTTCATTGTGAACTACATGATCCGGATCAACCTGAACATTACCATTGTGGACATGATTGCCGGGAAGGGTGCTATTCCCTCAAATGACACCCATGAAAACTCCACGGACTTGGCTGCCCTAGCGGAATTGGATGAACGATTCTCGTTGGAGCGTTGGTTTTTGGACTGGGCAAATGTGAGTATCAGATCGCTGAATCACTGGTTAAGTGCTTAATGAAGCCACTAAGTGACGGCGCTTGTGCAACAACGGGGCGTATGAGTAACGTGTGTGTGCACTACATCTTTGGCAGATACCGTACGAAAAGAATGGATTTCACTGGAACGAGAAGCAGCAGGGCGCTCTGTTGGGATCCTTTTTCTGGGCCCACTGGACACTGCAGATTCCCGGCGGCATCCTGGCAACCAAGTATGGCACCAAACTGGTCTTTGGTTGGGCCAATGGCATCGGTGTCTTCTGCTGCTTCCTCATACCCCTCGTATCGTACTGGAGCTACACGGGCTTGATTGCCCTTCGAGTATTCCAGGGGTGGATAACGGTAAGGGATCCCCAAGTGGAGTTTGATAGAAAGTTTAAATTTTTAATTTCAAGGGCTTGGCCTGGCCATCGATGCACGTGCTCACCGCCAAATGGATTCCGCCCAACGAGCGCAGCAAGTTTGTCAGTGCTTACTTGGGCAGCTCGGTGGGCGTGGCCCTGTTCTATCCGATCTTCGGCTATATCATCGATTGGACACGGTGGGAGTGGGTGTATTATATCTGCGGAATTGTGGGCACCCTTTGGTTCATCGCCTGGCAGTTCCTCGTCTTCGATAGTCCCGCCGAACATCCCCGCATCGCGGATTCGGAGAGGAAGTTCATTGAGAAGTCCTTGGGTGCCTCCATTCAGGGCGGCAAGGGACCCACTCCCTGGAAGGCGATTGCTACCTCCCGTCCGGTTTGGCTGAATGTGGTCGCCCAATGGGGTGGCATCTGGGGTCTCTTCACTTTGATGACCCATGCGCCGACTTACTTCAGACTGATTCACCACTGGAACATCCGAGCGGTAATAGGGTAAACGATTTTGTAGGTCAACAATATTACACTTTATTTTATTCCTTTCAGACGGGCTTCCTGTCCGGACTGCCGCATCTCATGAGAATGCTCTTCGCCTACGTATTCTCTATATTCGCTGACTATCTCCTACGGACGGATAAGATGAGTCGCACCAATGTCCGCAAGTTGGCCACATTCATTTGTGAGTATTACTTCTGTGTCTTGGAAGTTTAGGAAGTACCTAAATTCATGTCTTTGTAAACCCTAAACTATATTTTTCCAGGCTGTGGAGCTAAAGGCTTAATAGTCTTAGCCCTAGCATACTTTGGCTACAACGCGACGGCTGCCATCGTGTTGGTTACAGTGGCCACCATGCTCCACGGCGCCGTGTCATCCGGTCCTCTGGCCTCCATGGTCGATCTGTCCCCAAACTATGCGGGCATTGTCCTGGGTGTGAGTGGAATGATTGGTGGAATGCCGGGCTTCATATCGCCCTTTATCGTGGGCCAACTCACTCACAATAATGTAAGTTGGAACTGCCTTTTCAAGTATTTATTAATCCATGTTTAATCCCTTCCTATAGCAAACCATTGATGCCTGGAAGAATGTGTTCCTGCTCAGCTCGGTGATGCTAACAGGCAGTGGCATCTTGTATGTGTTCTTCTCGGAATCCAAATTGCAGCCGTGGAATAGTGGCTTGCCCCAGTTGCCTGATTCCGGGCTGAAGGAACTCCAAAATCTGGGACACGATATGGATGACGTGGAGGAGAAGAAGCCTCTTAAATCTGACCAAGATGAGGAAAGTCCTGTCGTCGCTGAAATGGAGACCAAAACAAAATCTAATAGCGATGAAAAGTGACATGGGGCAGTCACACTCTGTTTTAATGGCATAATAACGTGTTGATTATGGAACCACGTCTGATAACGCTTATCGTCATTTTGTGTAAATAATTACCCGTGAATCTAGAGAGTTTAGCATCTCTAACCTCTAGACTTAAGTGAGTTGCTAACTATACCATAGGATTACTTCTCTTTTCTCCCCGAGATTCCATTTGTCCAACGTGCGCTTTTAGTTAAATATAAATAAAAATGTATATGATTTATTTGCCAGTTTTTATTTATTATTTAAGCAACACTTTTGGCGTAAAGGTCACTTCATGCATGCGGTATAATATGTTTTATGGGTAAGGAAGCTAGAACTGCTTTGCTGCTGTCTGGGAAAGTTTTTGCTTAAGCCAGGTGATTCAACTAATCCCGATTAAAGATAAATATTTTCTAAAGGTCAAAAGAGACTTTTTTAAAATCTCAGCTTGTTTATTTAGTTATTACCCAGTTAGAACGCTTTAGTCGAGTTCCTCGACTAACAGATACCCGTTACTCAGCTAATGTGAGTGCGAACGGGTAATTTCAAAATTGGCACTGCGTCTTGAATCTGCATGCTTTATGTCAACACACTCGCTTTCAAAGTTCCTGAGATCAAGGAGTTCATAAGGACAGACGGACATGCCTAAATCGAAAGCGCTAGTGATCAAGAATATTATCAAGAATGTTACATACTTTTCAACGAGCCCAGTATACCCTTTTACTCCACGAGTAACGGGTATTAAAATAAGTTAATTAAATATTTGACTGTGACGCGACTACGCTCCTTGCATTATCATTACCCGAATTTTTAGACAGACCCCCATTGCTGTTTTCGTTATTGTACTAACAGTACTTTTCGAGCAAATATTACCATCTAATTTGAACATTGTTATGTATTTAATCGCTGTCTACGTAGACGGTCGTAACTTATTATAATCGTTACTCGTAGAGTAAAAGGGTATACTAGATTCAGTGAACAGTATGTAACAGGCTGAAGAAACGTTTCCGACCATATAAGGTATACATATATGTATATTCTTTATCAGGATCAATAGCCAAGTCGATCTGGCCATGTCCGTCATTTATTCTTCATAATATCTTTGGCGCAATTCTCTAAAAATCTGCATTCAAATTTAGAAATTTATTTTTTTTTAGTTTTTTTGATGTTATGATGTAGAAATTCAAAAAAAGTAAGAAGTGCCCCAAGGCTGAAGTTCTAAACTCCATAACTCAACTTATATTAATCGGATTTTGAAGTGGCATACCTCTAAATGTTTGTAGTGCAATTCTCTAAACAACTGCATTCAAATTTAGAAATTTATTTTTTTTTTAATTTTTTGTCATTTTTTGATGTTATGATGTTGAAGAAATTCAAAAAAATGAAGAAATGTCCCAAGTCTGAAGTTCTAAACCCCATAACTCAAGTTATCTTAATCGGATTTTGAAGTGGCATACCTCTAAATGTTTGTGGAGCAATTCTCTAAACAACTGCATTCAAATATAGAAATTTATTTTTTTTTCAATTTTTTTGTAATTTTCTTGATGTGATGATGTAGAAATTCAAAAAATGTAAGAAGTGTCCCGAGGCTGAAGCTCTAAACTCCATAACTCAACTTATCTTAATCGGATTTTGAAGTGGCATACCTCTAAATGTTTCTGGAGCAATTCTCTAAAAATCTGCATTAAAATTTAAAAATAATTTTATTATTATTTTTTGGTCATTTTTTTGATGTTATGATGTGTAGAAATATGTAAAAATAGTAAAAAGTGCCCCAAGGCTGAAGTTCTAAACTCCATAACTCAACTTATCTTAATCGGATTTTGAAGTGGCATACCTCTAAATGTTTCTGGAGCAATTCTCTAAAAATCTGCATTAAAATTTAAAAATAATTTTATTATTATTTTTTGGTCATTTTTTTGATGTTATGATGTGTAGAAATATGTAAAAATAGTAAAAACTGCCCCAAGGCTGAAGTTCTAAACCCCATAACTCAACTTATCTTAATCGGATTTTGAAATGGCATACCTTTAAATGTTTTTGGAGCAATTCTCTAAAAATCTGCATTCAAATTTAAAAATAATTTTTTTTTAAATTTTTTTGTAATTTTTTTGATGTTATGATGTGTAGAAATTCAAAAAAAGTAAGAAGTGTCCCAAGGCTGAAGTTCTAAACTCCATAACTCAACTTATCTTAATCGGATTTTGAAGTGGCATACCTCTAAATGTTTCTGGAGCAATTCTCTAAATATCTGCGTTCAAATTTAGAA